GGAAAGGACTGAGCATATGCTGAGCTGGGAGTGAACTCATTTCTTCTTCTTTTTTTCTAATAGTCATTATTGCATGAAATGTTTATTCTTTGCTAAGAAAGGCTTACACTGTAACAAGTATGTACAGAGCAAAATAATACAATGACCATTTTTTGTTGCTCACATTGGTTTCCTGTATACTTTCTTATTAACCTGTAATTAAAAATCATGTTCTTAATAACAGCCTCTTAATGTCTTAATATTTTTTTCAGACCTGTAAACCTGTTTCCATCTTTAACTCTCTGGTGTTTGTTCTTAGCCTCCAAGTGTATTCTAACCAAAGAGAATAAGACAATAGTGCCCCTACTTTAAGACACTTTGGTGCTGTCTGTGAGGAAATCAGCACCATAAGTCAGTTTTGTTGCATATTTTATTGCCACTGGGACAGCCTCCACATACATGGAAGCACTGACACACGAGTGCTCTTGTAGTGAACTCATTTCTGACTTAGTGAACTGCAACGATGTGGCATTTCACAAGTTCCACCCAGGACAGGTCTGGGTAGCCCTCACACTTGATGGCCAGAAGATCAGGAATTCTCGTGGTGGGGGTAGGTTCCATGGTGTAAGCCCTAAGCACTCTGGACTCTGAATTCTAGTGGTGGTACGTCAGGCGCCATTTTGTACACTGTAGCAATAGCTTTAGAACTGCGGGGGACAATAGGGAACTGAGCATGTGCTGAGCTCGCAAGAACTCACTAAGTTCAATGAATCACACTGGTCCCACAGGAAAATAATACCAATTGTGGCATCGTACGGGTCAAAATAGGTCCATGTGGCACCCAGACCTAACGTCTAACAGGTTCCAGCAAGATCAGTGCCACCAACAACCTAGCTATATAGGACACCTGGTGTCTCCCTAATCTGTGACCTGCTCCAACCAAAAGTGGGAGGAAGGTTGTACAGACAACAGTGCAGCCTCAGCACGGTATCACAGGAGGTGTAGAGTGGTGAGCCAGGAGCTGGGGCTGTGGAGACCAAGGTGGATATCTGACATAAGAACCCAGACCTGGATCTCACTGGAGGTTGTGGCACAAGTGGCTGCAAGCAAAAGTTGTGTACCAACTGCAATAAGTAAAATCGCATTGTAGACCTGTGGGTGACACAGCTTAGAAACTTGCCCCAAGAAGAAGATTCTGGTAACCAAAAGTGCAATGACCAAAAGTAAAAGAAGAGACAAAGGCACAACGAATATTACTGAAGACTCCCCTGCAAAGGAGTAAAACCCTATACCAACCTCAGCATTCACTGAGGAAGACATTGAGAAAATTGGCCATACAGAATTCATAAAACTCATTTTAAAGCTTATTATTAACAATGAGAAGCATATACAAGAGTTCAAAGAATTTAAACAAGCAATAAAGCAAATCAAGGCTGATATAGCAGAAATTAAGAACACAGTAGAGCAAATTAAAAGTGCAATGGAGAGTCTCCAAAGTGGAATAAAGCAAGCAGAAGAAAGAATCTCAGAATTGGAAGATATTTCCTGTCATCAGGGGGAAGCAAACAAAAGCTGGAAGCAGAGCTGGATCAGGCCAAAAAAAAGTATTCAAGAATTGAAAGATACTATTTAGAGGTCAAATATAAGAGTTATGGTAGTCCCAGAAGGTGCAGAAAGAGAAGCTGAGTTTGCAAATGTATTCAATGAAATAAAAAGGGAAAATTTCCCTAATCTGGAGAAAGAATTGGAAAACAAGATCCAGGAGGGACACAGAACTGCCAACAGGCTTGATCAAAAGCAATCTTCACCAAGACATATGATAATCAAGCTCTCTTCAATTGGACCTAAGGAAAAGATCCTTAAATGTGCACTTGAAAAAAAATCAATTGACATATTAAGGAATGCCAAATTAAGCTCACAGGAGATCTCTCGCAGGAAACTCTACAGGCAAGAAGAGAATGGAGTGACATATTCCAGATTCTAGAAGAAAAAAAATTGTCGGCCTAGGGTAACATATCCAGGAAAGCTTTCTTTTGTCTTCCAAAATGAAATAAAATTCTTCCACAGTAAAGAAAAGTTAAAAGAATTTGCCTCTTCCAAACCCGCCCTACAAATGATACTTCAAGATATTCTCTTCACAGAGAAGAGGAATAGCACCCACCAAAACCAAAGTCAAATGGGAAGAACATCCCAGTAAAATGACAACAGAAGACTAAACCAATGAACAACCCATTCCTAAAATAACAGGACCAAAGTACCACCCATACATACTAAACCCTGAATGTAAATGGCTTAAAATCATTCAAACATCACAGATGAGTAGATTGGATTAAAAGCAAAACCTATCTATTTATTGTCTAGAAGAGACACACTTCACCAACAAAAATCGGTAGAAGCTATACTGCATGGGTTTTGTTGTTTTCTGTTAGTTTCGTCTCTTCAAAACATTTTCTTCTGATTAAATCATTCAATGACTTTTAGATCATACAGTAACATCATTTTCTGCAAGAAGGTTCTTGATTTTCACTTCTTCAGCTACACGTTAATCATTTAGTAACATGTTGTTCAACTTCATGGTATTGTTAATTTCTTTTTTCTCCCTGATGTTGATTTTGTTTTGTGGCTTTTCATTTAGGGGGATGTATAGTAGCTGTGTAATGGAGACTGTCACATCTAGCTACATGACATTTAACTTCATGGCATTGTACATTTCTATTTTTCTTTCTATTGTTGATTTCATATTATGACTTTTCATTTAACGAGATGTACAGTAGCTGTGAAATTGAGACTAACATCCAGATGTGAGGATACAGGGTAGTATGCATTTCTACTTCCAGACAAAGATGGACTTATAATGAAACTGCTCACTATATCTTGACAATAAGATGCTGGACTCTCTGCCATTGTCCATTCCCGCATGATGGGCATATGACTGTGTATGAAGTACTATATTTTAGTAATGATATAGAGGAACTAGTTGGGAGGGAATTGGGGAGGGGATAAGGGAAATGCCAGCAGCCTATGGAACTGAATCATAAAATGATAATAATAATGATAAAATTAAAAAAAGAAAAAACAAACAAACAAAAAAGAAGATAGTAAAATGCTTCAGGACACTGGAATCTAAAAGGATCATAAGGATGATTGTACAAAAGCCAAGAATAGTAAAGCAAAAATAGACAAGTACGCTGTCATTAATCTAAAAAGCTTCTGTGCAGTGAAAGAACCAATGAGCAAAGAGAAACCTTCCAGAAAGGGAGAAAACATTCGCAAAATACTAAGTGCCATATGCATACCCTGTAAGGAATTCAATTCAGTAGTCCAGAAATAAAAAATCCAATAAAAGTAGTCAATCAGTCTGAATAGATATTTTTCCCAAAGGAAGATATGAAGCAGCCCATAGATGCATCAAAAATTGGACATTACAGATAACCAGGAAAATACAAACCTAAGCCATAATAAGATATCTCACTCCAAGCTTCCTCAAAAAAATTGAAAGTAGAACTACCATATGATCCAAACAATCATATTAATGGATATGTGCATCACTATGTAAAGGGAAATTAATCAGGCAAATAAGAAAAAGTCCTACATGATCTCATTCATAAGTGAAAAGTAAAATAATAATAATCATAATCTCATACAAATTGAGAGTTTAATAGTAGTGCTCATAGTCTTGGGATAGTAGGGAGGAGTTAGGTTGATTAATGGATACTAAATTATAGCAAATAGAGGTATTTTGGCGTCTCACTGCACATCAGGGTGACTTTAAATACAAATAATGTATATATAGATATGCACATATATGAGTGTATATATATAAGTGTGTGTGTGTACATATATTGCATATTTAAAGATCTATCTGAAAGCCAGGGAGAGGCAGCAGCCTTCCATCCACTGGTTCACTCCCCAAATAGCTGCATAACCAGGAGTGTGATAAACTGAAGCCAAAATCTTGGACCCTGTCTGGTCTCCCACATGGGTTGCTGTGCCCAAATACTTGATCCATATTTTGCTGCCTTCCTAAGCCCCTCAGCAGGAAGCTGCATCAGCAGCTCAACAGCAGACACTTGAAGTGACTGGCGCTCAGGCATAGGCATCCAGCATTGCCAGCAGCAGCTGAATCTGCTATGCCATACACACTTCATAAAAAGGTAGAAAGGAGAAGTTTGATTGTTTTCACCAATAAACGATGATGACTATTTGAGGACAGTTACATTTACCCTGATTTGAATGCTGTACAGCAGTCACATGTGTGGAGACATCATACAGCATCGCATAAATATGGATTTTTTTTGTGTATCAGTTATGAATGAGGAATGACATTTATGTTTATGTATCTATTAAAATAAATTATATGGTTTCAGGATAACAGAAGACCTTACACGGTATGTTAAAACTAAGAAATAAGAAATGACAGTCAGCAATTTTTCTGTATGATATTTTATCAGTACTGTTATTATGATAGAGGAAGGGCAGGATGTGAGGGCGATCAGGCTGCGACAACTGTCACCCCATTGATCGCCAGGGTTGATTTGGCTGATCTGGCTGGCTAGGCGGGTGTCCCCTTCCTCCCTCATCGCTCCATGTGCGTCCCTCCTGAAGCTGTGCGCTTGGTGGGAGAGGACGACCACCCCCGCTAGAGGAGGACTGGTCTTCGGTCAAGGGTATACGAGTAGCTGTGCTCCCCTGCTAGAACCTCCAAACAAGCTCTCATGGAAGGGCAAAAATGAGTTAACCAGAAAGAATATTTTCATATTATGGGAAGATTGTTAAAGGCTGTAATAATAGAAGAAGAATAATAGAAGAAATATTGCAATTACCTAATCTGGTATATTAATTTAAAATTTTGCTCTCAGTCTATTAATGCTAAAATCTTCGCTTTTAACACTCCTTGAACATGCTACCAATTCATGTGAGGATGGAAATATTTGCATATGAATACATGGAAGGAGACATTAGACTCTGACCCCTTGAAATACACACACAAACAAAATGACTTTCTGGAAGAAACTGTATACCTCAACTGGAGGAAATTTCTCCCAAGACCTTGACTGGAGACTAGAAGGAACAATCGTGTCTAACTCCTTCTTCATCAGCCAAGGTGATGCTTCGTGGAAAGGGCGAAGGACTGTGATGCTCAGGGCACCTGGTTCAGAGAGTGATTGGAAAGTTATTTCTCCATCAAACACCTTCTGAGAAATTCAGTAGGTATCCTCTAGATTCAGTGTGAGAGCAGTTTTGCTTTAGGTTCTTACAATCTTACCAGAAACATGGGGCTGTCAGTCACTGTGAGACCCAAAGACTGCAGTTATCTCACCTACACGTTCTTATTCAACTTCACTGTCTCTCAATAATCACATCCAAGTCCTGATAATTTTACTAATAATTCCTTTTTGAGAAACTATTTGTTTGAAAAGCATAGTTACAGAAAAGAGAGGGAGAAGCAGAGTATAAGGATAGAGAGTCAGAGGGGGATGGAGGGAAACAGAGATCTTCCATCCACTTCCGTTCACTTCCCAAATGGCCACATCAGCCAGGGCTAGATCAGATCAAAGGCAGGAGCTCCATGGAAGAAAGGTCCATGTTTATTTTAATTCATCATGGTGTTTGTAACATCTACCCAGTACTGGGGTGCATGGTGAATGGCCAAGTAGACACTTTTTAAATGACTGAATAACAAAGCAATCTGAGAGGCAGTCTTACTTAGCTCCACATAGGCATGGTATGTCCTACCAGAACTTCTCATTCTCCATAATCACAAGAGCAAGGTAGATTTCATCATGCACAAGTGCACTGTCACACTGGAATGCGCTAGTGCATGCAGAGCCAGCCATACCCATAAATGTTTTCCATCAAATATAAACAATAAGCATACACACTTATTAACCTAGGCAGAGAACACCAGTTTTGTATGCAGATAAGATGTGGGTATGTGTCAATATTCATATTACTTGGGCTGATGGTTAAGATAAAATGAGTACATATATCTCTGACCCATAGTTATATCAATTTCCTTGAAATTGGGAGCATATATAAAAGAAATTCATAACAAATATAGCTTATATAATAAACTTTCTGGTTAGCATTCTAAATCATATATGTAGTTTCTATAGTGTTCAATTTTGCCAAGACAACACTTTCAAAATCACACGAACCAACAGGATATATCTTATTTTGTATTTGTTTTATCTTACCAGGATGACATGGACTCACAAATAGAAAGCTGGTCATGCAGAGGAGCACAGACTCTACTGTGTTTAGAGTGGGAGACAGAGGCACACTCAGTGTACACAGCTATAGCTGAATATGAATGTAAATTCAAGTAGCCACACAAATAGGATGACACGGCTACATGGAAAGCAAAGTACAAACATGATACTAAGGGAAATACAGATTACATGAGGATATCCTGAGTAATAAGAGAATGAGAGTTGATACAGGGGTGCAGGCATTTCCAGAGAGCCATGCAGGCTATTCACCTGGCTGCTCCTGGACTGGCTCCTGGAGAACCACTGCGTTTGAATCTCCATAGGCCACAGACAAATATTCCTCTATGTCACAGTCACGAAGAAGTTCCATCCCTGAGCCATCCGCATAGATAACAAAAAACCTATTGGAAGGAATGAGACTCTAATCACCTGAGGCATTCCTTAAAATACTTTTTGAGCTTGGAATTGAAAAACACCACCACGGTATGGTTATGATTATCAGTTTACCTGGGAACATGTTCACCATAGATTTGCAGATAATTCTTCTGGAGGTGGGCAGATGATAAACTCTCATAGCCCTCAGTTGTCACATTTAAGTCATCTTCTGTTTTTTTGTCAGGTAACCTTGTTGATGTGGTACCATCAGCCATGACCTAAGAGACAAAAACAAGCCACTAAAACAAAAAAAAATATTGAAAACGGTTATACTGCTATGCTATGATTTGAGAAAACGATCTTTTGGTATGCTCAGGAAATCAAGAGCTTTTATTTGCAAGGTATTTCTCATTCAGGATAGCTTTTGTTGATAAAAGTGAAAACAGGGCGATTTTATGTGAAGACTACGCCTAGGAAATGAAAACAACGTTAAACACGTTCAGAAGAAAGTCACCAGATGGGCAGCGGAGTGCCCTTAAAACCTGTGCTATGAGGATTAGTTCAAAGGACTGGGAACTGAAACACAGAGAAGCATTTGTGAGACCGTTTTCTCACGTGTCATGGAATACTCTTCTGTTGGTTCTTTTCAGCCATTCAAAAATGCAAAAATCAATGAAAACAAAACTATTTTTGAGTCATGGGCTGTATACAGACAAGTGGCCGTGGTTTGCCAATGCTTGGTTCATAGAGGCACAGTAATGTAGTTGAAGGACAGGGGAGCAAAGATGAGAGTGACATCAAAGAACAGCCAAGCATCTTTTGCAGATTCCCCACCTCCCTTTCTTCAATGCTACTGAAAACTTCTACCAATTCAAATCTAGTTGACTGCTGCTCTGTGCTTGTTCTCACTGTCACCTGACATCATTCTTTCTGGTGGCATTGTCTTTAGGTGTCTGCTCCTGCTTCTTCCATTGCGTTCCAATGATTTATTTCAACTCTCTCACTTGTTTGGGTTGCTGTCTGCACAGAGGTACACTTGAGAATCAAAGAAAAGATACTGGCGCTTGTAACCGCTTGCCCAAAGTATTGGCATTAAGAGGATAACTAATCCCAAGAATTAACGATATCTAGCCTGTCTAGTGTGAAATATGTCAGGGACAAAGCCGCAGACTCTCTCTCTCTCTCTCCATATGAAAACTCTGCTTTACCTGAAACATGTTCCCCTCTGGGTCCACGACCTCACAGATAACTTCCGATGTGTGTTTCATGATGTACCTGCTGGCTCGCAGCTGTTGGCGTGTTTGGAAAGGATAGTATATATCGTGGCTGGCCTCATGACAATACGTAGCTGAACAGTCCCTGTCAATATAAAGACAGCCTGCATTTGTAGGTAGCACCTGGAAGGGGTAACAAAAAGAGAAAAAAAGTTTTTTTTTTTTTAAGAATTTTAATTTGAGAGACTTGGGAGGAAATTTCAAGTTAGAGAATATCTATGAATCTTTGTCATAAACTTTGTTTCCAAGAAGAAACTGTTACTCAAGAAAAGACTTAAGGTTTGGAAAGGATGATTGGATAAGGAGACAATCTGAAAAATCAAGATACAATTTTTCCTATAAACCCACATTTTAATATCTCTTTGAAGTAACCGTCCTATGCTCCCTTAGATATTTAACATTTAGATATTTTACTAGATATCTTTAAGATATTTTGTATTTTTTAACTAAAGTAATCACACTTGGACCAATTGGACATGTCTGAAATCCTGTATGTTCTTTGGCAAGAAGCACCTCAGATGCTTTTGTCTTTCCTCACTCTGTGGCTGCCAGCCCTCCAATACTGGCTCTTATGTTAGAACTTTGGTTTCAGATCTTTGTTGAAATTTAATTCAGATACCGTAAATCCACCCTTAGAAAATTGCACAGCTGATTAGGTTTCAGTCTATGAAAAAGTTTTTGTAACCATTATCAATCACACATTTCAGAACATTCTGATCATCCCCCAAAGAAACCCTGAACCGTGCAGCAGTCATGTGGTGCTTCCTCATCCCTGGGTGCTGCCCACCACCAGCCTATCATTCCTTCAGACTGACCTGCTCTAGAATTTTCACATATGTAAGGCGTGTACTATGTGGTCGATGGCCACCTGGCCTCTTCCCTTTGCCATGGTGTGTTCAGGAGTCACTCATGTTGATGTAGATATCAGTAATTCATTGTATCTATGGATGAACAATATCCCACTGTTTGGCTATGTTAAACTTTGTTTATCCACTCATGAGCTGAAACATTTTGGGCTATTTTCACAGTCCTGCTAGAATTAAGAAGGCTTCTCTGAACCTCTGTGCCCAAGATTTTGTGTGGAAGTATGCTTTAATTTTTCTTGGTTACATGTAGGAATGGAACTGTTGGATCATTTGATGTCTGTTTCCTTTCTGAGAAGCTGTCAAACTGTTTTCCAGAAACACTGCACCATTGTACGTTCCCATCAGCAGCGTGTGCAGCTTCCACTTATCCCACAGTCACCAATGCCTGTGATGGCCTCTGTCATTACATTTTGGGAGGCGCACATCTCTCAGTGACTCATGATGGGAAGTATCTTTACTTGGTCTATTTGCATTTATTTATCTTCTTCAGATAAATTTCAATTCCTCATTCATGTTAAGTTTGTATTACCAGTCTTTGTGTTAAGTTGCAGGAGTCCTTCAAATTCTTTTTAAAATATTCATTTTAAAAAGCAGATTTACAGAGAAAAAAGGAAAGGGTAGGTGAGTCTTCCATTTGTTGGTTCACTTCCCAAATAATGGCAACTGCCAGGGCTGGACCAGGCCAAAGTCAGGAGCTTCATCTGGGTCTCCCACATGGATGTGGTCAGCTCAAATATTTGGGCCATCTTCCACTGCTTTCCCAGGCCATTATCAAGGCACTGGATTGGAACTCGAGCAGAAGGAATGGGAACTGGTGCCCATATGGGATGCTGCCACTGCAGGTAGCAACTTAACCCACTATGCCTCACCAATGGCCTGTTTTACACATTCTACACACAAGACTAGTGTCAGATATATTACACAAAATAGTATTTCTATTCACTATTTTAACTTTTCATCTTCTTAGTCTTCCATTCTTCAAAGCATAAACTGTTTTTGATTTTTGCTAAAGGTTGTGCTTTTGGTATCATACCTAAGAAATCATTGCCTAATCTAATGGCAAGAAAATTCACACTGAAATTTTCTTTCAGCTCTCACTGCTAACATTTTCCTTGAACTCTAATTGCCATGCCAAGTAAAAAGGGAGACGGATATATTTTCAGAAAAGATGTGAGGCACAAGCAGGCTAGGTGACTTTCACAGGACGATGTGCTCAGGAACTACCTCTTGGCTTTGAGCTCCCTGTGTCTGCTGACAGTGCTGTCTTGGGACTCACTTCTAAGACTAAAGGGACTGAAAGCTTATAGTCAGCAGTTTGGTTTAGTAGCAAAGCAGACAGCAAGGGGGAAGTTCTACCAGAGCTCCCACGGGGCCTCTTCAGGATGAAGCTTTGCCTTACTGGTTGAACCACCTCCCTAGAGTGCACAGACCACATACTTCCTCCCCTTTTTCTGAGTCATGGTGCAGAATCAGGATGAACTGATGAAGATGAAGATGGAAAATAAGAGTGAGGGAAGAGGCGACGAATGGCATGGCAGATGTCTTAGTCACTTGCCATATCAACCAGGTCCTTTCAACACCCACAAGCACATAGGAGTTCCTCAATAAATGCAATTGGTATTATAACCTGGATCCTAAACTGACAGCATTTCAGAAAAAAAAAAAAGGAATCCAGGCAATGTTTGTTTGAAATGGATTTCAAAAAGATGATGAATACATAAGGTGTTGAGAGGTGCATTATGAGATCAAATGAGAAACGGCAGCAATAGCAGCCTCTGATGCTGCCTCACAGTGGTGGGTCTTCCCCACCAGACCGACATTTATCTTACCCTGGGCCTCCTTGCTTCCCCTACTACACCTACCTGGTATGTTCCCTGTGGCTTTGCAATAATAGACGTTCCGTCCCCAAAGGTGGTGCAGCAGCTGCTGTCCTCACAGTTGGTGATAACTGTGGCATAGTGTGAGCTTTCGATCCGCATGCACTTCACCTGCCTGGTGACCACGTGAGGTCCTTCTCCTGCAAGCGAATGCAAGATAAGCAGATCTGAGAAGATGCGTACACTGGGAGACAAGCCCTGGTCTGTGGGTTTTGCTGCAGTACGCTGGCTGTGTGGATTCCCCATGTGAAAAATACAACTGGAAGAGTGAGACCGAATGCTGAGGATTCCACGGGATGGGGGTGGCTGACTCTGTTAATTCAGAATGATTCTTCCCGAGAGAATCTCATTTGATTTCCTGTACTGTTTTGTTTCTCATTTTTTCCCCCCGTTTTGAAGCCACCTAAATTCTCAATTTCAGGAATTGAGAAATACAAAATACAAGTTCATCACCCACGTATTTCACCTATCAAAATTTATGTTTGCTACTATATTGCCAAATTTGCTTCAACATTTTTAAACATGATAAAAAGTTAGAGATAATGTTGGAAAATGTCTTCTGCCTAGATTTCTGTCTTGCATTCCATTTTATAGTTTCTATGTGTGTTGAGAAGAGTGTGTATAATTTGTGTGCTATGAATTTATGTGAAGTATATTTTATCTATGTAATTATATAATTATATCATTCTACACCTTCTTTTTCATTAAACATCAGAGGCCTCTAATTACTTTGATATATATATGAATTATACATATATATGTGTGTGTATGTGTATTTATGTATGTGTGAATTCAATTACATTCAATTACTTTTGGGTACCATCTAGTAAAATTGCACCACATTTTAGATTTCTATTTTGCCACTGAAGAGCATCCTACACTTTCCTACTGCTCCAATATTGTTCTCAGTGTTGTCAGCAGCACTTCTGCACATGTCTCCTTGTGCAAATGTGTTAACATTGTGTCTGTATATGTAGAAATAAAGTTAATGCACCATTACAACATGCATGATTTTACCAAGTAATTGGGAGATGCCATTCGAAGGGTCCAAGGTTGCTGTGATGTAAGATGAGTAAGTCTAGAAAGCTATATAGAATGAAGATGGAAATCAATATTATTTCATTGTGCAAAGGAATTTTTCTAAGAGGAGGGTTATTTTAAAGAGGGATTTATTTATTTATATGAAAGGCAAAATGACAGAGGAGGGGGAGAGATAGAAATGATAGAGGAGGGGGAGAGGGACAGAGAAAGATATCTTATATCCATCGATTCACTCTTCAAATGACAGCAGTGGTCAGGACTGGACCAGGCTAAAGCCAGGAGCCTGGAACTCCATCTGAGTCCTCCACACAGATGGCAGGGGCCCGAGTTCGTGGGTCATTTTAGGTGTGTGATAGTCAAAGGATACAATACTTCAGCTGGGTGTAAAGACTAAGTTCAAGGGCTCTACTGCACAGCATGCCAACTCTAATAATCAAATGACAATATATGCGTTTTGAAAATTACCATGAGGCTGTTTTTAAAATGTTCTTAGCACAAAAAATTATGTGTGTGATGTAATTGATATGTTAATTAGCCTAATTTACCATTTTATGCATATATATCTACACAGCCTAGAATATATATATTCTCTCTATATACTCACATATGATATATGATATATAATATAGTATAATATACACATAGAATATATACACAGTATACACATACATACAGAATAGAATATATACATATTTCAAAACATGGCATACATAGTAAGTACAAATTTGATCAATTAAAAAATAAAGACAGAAATAAGGCAAATGATAAAGTGATAAGTTCTCATAGGCCCAGATTTAGACACATAAATGTTCTTTTGTTGCTTGACTTCATCAAATAATTTCTTTTCTCACGTGTTCAACTATCAGTGGGAGTCCTTTCTCTCATATAAAGAATTATGGAATAACATTATAATTTTGAAACACAAACTTACTTGTTTCTTGATCATCTGGAGGAATTATATGATCTTCATAAACTTGGTAAAAGGTTGTGATTCTGGTACCATCAGCATGATCCACTATCCGGGTCCCATCTTTCTTTTCAACAATCACCACTTTGTCTTCTCGGGTTGTCATAACCTGTACATATAATGGCAGAGCATCATCCCCTAGTCAGGTGTCTAACCCTAAGTGTGATATTTCGTAAACTCCACTGGATGCAAAGACAGTGCCATCAAAGCCCTAGTCTTTCCAAATGAAATTTTAACTCACTACCAGAGCTAATCCTTATCACAGCCAAGCAAGCTATGGGAGGCAGAGAGTGGTAACCTTGTTTCATAGGACAAGGAATTTAAACTTTGAGAAACTTAAGAAAGTTGTCAAGGCCACTCAACATGCAAGAGGCAGGGCATATTTGTGGATAAAAAGTTAACATCAGGCCTGGGCTGACCCAGATATGCCTATGAAAATGAACACAGACCCCACTTTCCTAGAAAGTATGAAGTTGAGATACACATGGCATGGTGTGGCTGTCTCTGTGTCATGAAATCTCTGCTCTGCAGAACTGTCCTGGATAGGACAGACCTTTGGGAGATGCGGACTCTGTCTTCATGGATGGAATTAGATCCCTGACTAAAGGAACCTCAGAGAACTCTCAGAATGGGAACACCTTGGAAGAGGTGCTCATTATTCAGGCTTAGCCCTGATCTCAGATTTCCAGCTACAGAACTGCCAGAAGCAGAGCCTCCCTGCATGTGGTGCTTCGTGATAGCAGCCTGGGCAGACTATCACCCTGGCCAAGCTGCAGACTCCCAAGTGTGTTTGTGTGGTGTGTGGGTGTGCGCAGGTGGTGGGGCTGGAGAGAAGTGACAAGGATGCACCTTTGGAAAAACAATGGGGAACACTGCCTGTCAACAGCTGCACACTTTTAGCTTTTTCAGCCTTGCCCCTGCACACATCCTTCCCAGTGAGCTGCATTCAGGGGCTGAGACAGGGTTCACAGGTCTGGCCACTCTGCCAGACTCAGGACACTGAGACAGGTAGTGCTTGCCCCTGAGCTCCCCGCAGGCTTGACTGAGCTGTAGTTCAGTTCTTCTGGCCACCTGATCTTTCTTCCTCCTCTTCCCTTTCTCGGTGGTGTCCCTATTAAAAATCTTGCATTTCGGACTTGGCACCATAGCCTAGCGGCCAAAAGTCCTCACTTTGAAGTGCTGGGATCCCATATGGATGCTGGTTCTAATCCCGGAGGCCCTGCTTCCCATCCAGCTCCCTGCTTGTGACTTGGGAAAGCAGTCAAGGATGACCCAAAGCCTTGGGACCCTGTACCTGCTTGGGAGACCCGGAAGAGGATCTGGACACCTGGCTTCGGACTGGCACAGCACCAGCCATTGTGGTCACTTGGGGAGTGAATCATCAGATGGAAGATCTTCCTCTCCGTCTCTCCTCCTCTCTGTATATATCTGACTTTGCAATAAAAATAAACAAATCCTTTTTTTTTAAAAAGTCTTGCATTTAGGACTCCACCTCAATGCTAGTCTCTGGAGAGTCCATCCTTCACCTATGGTATTGTAAACTATGGAATTTATATTTTTGAAGTTATTTATTTTCATTGGAAAGGTAGAGCTACACAGAGAGAAGGACAAGCAGAGAGAGAGAGAGAAAGAGAGAGAGAGATAAACCATCCGCTGGTTCACTCCCTAAATGGCTGCAATTGCTGGAGCTGGGGTAGTCCAAAACCAAGAACTTCTTTTGGGTTTCCCACATGAGTGCAAGGGCCTAAAGACTTGAGCTGCTTTCCCATGTCACAAGCAGGGTGCTGGATTGGGAATGTAGCATCTGGGACACAAATTGGTGCCAATGTGGGATGCCAGCAGAGCAAACAGAGGATTAATTTGCTACATCACCGTGCTGGCCTCTGTGATCCACATTTTAAGCATGGGGCACTTTCTAATTGTACTGGCCTAATTATAATGGATACATTTTTCTGTAGAATCTGGGTGTATGTGACAGTAAGTTTTGCTATCTATTTTTTCCCCTTAAATGTCTAGGTCTATTTGGAGAAGCTGTTACCTTCTTCTCTTTACAGTAGGCAGAAATCCCGATTTGAGAAAAAATGCATGCTGATTATTATTTTGGGTTCTCATCATCACATTTGCAACCAGTAACACATCATAAGAAATACTGCCGTACAATGTGCTGGCTGGGACTTAGCTCTGCTGGAGTTAAAATTCTGGATTCCTGGACGGCTGGGCGCTGAGGGTGTGTTGTTTAACCTCTCTGTGCTCCAGTTTCTCTGGAGCCCACCTAGCATCTTAGGAAAAGTCATGTGGGTTAAATGAGATGGTTAAATGAGCTCGTTAAGTGCTTCACTCACAGTCATCAGGTTAGTAGCTGATTAATAGTAGCTCTATGTCTTACAGAAGAAAATGTCCACTTATATACATGTACAATTTATTTGTATATTTTTATTTAGAATTATCCAAGTATAACACTAATACTGTTGAGTGAGATAACTGTTATAATTCTTAGTGGTGACAGAATAGTGAAACAATGTTTTAAATACCAGACAGTGCCAGGATTTACCTCCTAGCCATTCAGGTAATGTTTAGTACCTCCAGTTTGTGAACAAGGAAATCCAGGTTATAAATGATCTCGGTGAAAACACACCCATTTTCAATTTTGTTTCAGGGCATCGTGTCAGTTTTCTTGCCCTCACTTAAACAGTAGTAAAGCACACGGGATCTGTCTTGGCATCTGCATGTTCTGTTTTCCATGAGCATTCTTTATTTTCTTTAGCTCAATGGATGCTGTCAAGCTTCATAAGATATTTTACAGGTATTGCTGAAAGATGGCACAATCCCAGCTCTTACTGACCAATAGCAGGTTCTACACCTGCCTGAGCCATCACTGCTGAATGTGCACAGCTGACCACCATATGTAACCTCAGTGGTGTCATAACACACACTTGTGGAAATAGAGAGCACGTGAAACTCCTGGCCAAGGGAGGCTCATCCTAGAAGTTCCAACTTAATAATAACCAGCAGAACCATCATTTCTATGCCACCAACTGGTCACTTACTCTTATGTTATGAATAAATTCTTTTGTGATGTTCCTCAGTGTTGTAACTTAACGTGAATATGTTCTATTTCCTTAAATATAGCCTAAGTTCTTTTGAAATCCAGGTTCATGGATGGATTCCTATCACTCACTGCAGTGTTCGAGGAAGCTCTAGGAAGTTGGAGCACAGCACATGACCCCTCACCTCCAGAATTAAGACTTCTGTACAAATATATTCAGTGCAGAGATATGCAGGACATCTCTTGGGTGTATCTTAAAAAGTGATGTGGAAAATTCAAGATATACCCCTTATTTCAAAAATTAGTATGTTGCCCTGGCCCATAATAACTTCACATTTCACAACATATTATGTTTGGTAAATATGTTATTTGATGCTTTCAGAATTTGGAAGCTGGATCCAGCCATCTATCCTTTTATCTGCTTCCTTGAAAATGCTTCCAAAATTTTTCTTATTTTTCAGCCATTCTTCTATGCATTGCTTCAGGACGTTAGTGATTTTGGGACATTATATAACATACAATGGCTTGCCATACCATTCCATTGACAGGATCCGTGACTTGAAAAGACAAAAATGGGGCCAAGTCTGGTATTTGTTCTAATCCCTTGGTGCCAATCCGATTTCCACTGGGTGTGGTGGTGAACCAGGTGCCTATGGGAGCTTCCACAGGAGTTACTATTTGGACGATCTCTGGGGGTGGTTCGTGGATTTCATTCTTATGTCCTACTGATTGATTTTTATGACCTTTTCCTGAGGAAAAGAAAAACCAAGCAATGTAACTCCAATTACATAAACACCAACCATTAAGTAACACTTAATGATACAGTTTAAACTACTTCAGATGCTGTGACAAAGACAACTCTAAGAGAATATTCATTAATTATATTATTTATCAATAGGGAAAGATTCCAGCTTATGAATAGCTTAATTTTAGTATCTGAACCTTGGCTAGATAGCCACCATCTTCCCCCCAAAGACAAACTCTCATGGACGGCGCACTGTCAAAGGCACACAAGATATGCTGGTCAATTTCTGTATACTTTGAAGCATTACTTCTATCGCCATAGATTCCAGATTTGGCGATCTGTGCTCAGGATTTTAAAACCTACTCTTTTCTGGAAAGGCATTGGATCCAGAGGTCCATATAACATGCTGGAGTGCTAGACTGGATTCCTGGCTCTGACTCATAATTCCAGCTTCTTCCAGTGCGGACCTTTGGGCCCAGCAGGTGATGCTTTAAGTAGCTGGATCTCTGACACCCACATGAGAGACCTGGACTGAGTGCTTGGCTTCTAACTGTAGTCTGGCCCAGTCACAGTTTTTGCAGGTCATTTCAGCAGTGAACCAGTTTTGTCTGTCAGTCTGTCTCTGACTCTCAAAGAAATAAAAGCAAAATTTTAAGACTCCTTATTTTGAGCTCTGAGCTCTAGATTTCTTTTTTAACTAAAGTTTTAACAATTGATTCAACTGATCTTACAATTCTGTCTGTCATGAATAGGAAACATCTTTCTTTAACCTTGGCTCTGGGGAAGCTGACTAGTCAGGCATAGCCTCGGCATTTCATCTGCACAATAAATGTTCTAGAGTTCAGTCAAGGACGGCCCAAAGCTTTGGGACCCTGTGCCCATATCAAAGACCCAGAAGAACCTCCTGGCTCCTTGCTTCAGATTGGCTCAACCATGACTGTTGTGGCTACTTGGGGAGTGACCAGTGGACAGAAGATCTTTCTCTCCGTTTCTCCTTTTCTCTGTACATCTGCCTTTCCAATAAAAACCCATATATGCTTTAAAAAAGAGAACATTGTGCATGAATTTCAGCTTTATGTACAACAAAATAAACTTGCTTTAATATTCCAGAAACTTTAAAAATTACCAATTTAATCTATCATCCATCAATCAATCATCAGTCAAAAAGGCAGAATGAGGGAGAGAAAGAAGGAAAAAGAGGTAGAGAGTGATTGTCTATCTCCTGGTTTACATTCAGAATGTTTCCAACTTCCATGTCTGGACCAGGATGAAGCCAGGAGGCAGGAACTCAATCCAGGTCTCCCACATGGGTGGTAGGAACCCTAGTACTTGAGTCACCCCCTGCTGACTCCTAGAGTACATACTGATATGATGTTGGAATCAGAAGCAGATTCATGACTTGAATCCAGACACTTTAAAATGGGACATGGGGTTCGGCTGATAAGCATCATTGGTGTTAGACTGCCTTGGGCTGCTCAGGGCTGCCTTGAGCTTGGATAGCGAGTGCCATTGATGGGTCGGGCCCAGCCCGCTCTGTGCTCAGAGCAGGGTCTGGAGATGCGGGCTTCTGGGGGATCTGGGGGCTGGCACTGGTCGGGGTGTGTAAGGACCTGGGTGCTCTGTCCAGGCAGTTGGAATGAACCTGAGGATTTCCCCACATACTTGGTTCAGGTGGGGTGGTGGGAGGGGAGAGATCTAGCTTAGCACGCTGGCCTGGTGGGCTGGGACTGGGTTTGGGGAACTTTGAATGGGCTAGAGAACCCATTTACTCCCAGGGCAGCGACTGTGGATTGATCAGGGAAAGGGGCAAAGGGATGTGTGGTAGGGAGGACCACTGAGGGAGTATGTTGCATCTGAGGAATAATTTCTGAGAGACGTTTATCAACAAAGCACTTATAGGCAAGCAAGGGAGCCGAGACCAAGTGGTTTGGAGGAGAGAAGCTCAAGGACCTTTATGGGTCAAACCAATGCACCGGATGGTGTGGGAGACCTGAGCTGAACTAGTTATCATGGATCATGCTGACCATCACTCATCAGTACACACTAAACCTAGGGCTGGGGGCCTACCTGGCAGGGCTAGATCACAGTATCCACCAGTGAGTGTTGGAACAGGGGATGGGTAATGTTAGAATGGGCCATGACACTAACTAGCACATGAGATAACCAGTTTTGGGGCTGATTCTGTGGGGGATAGATGGATTCACCCCTATGGAAATGCAATTGCACTGGTTTGCTTAAGAGCTGGAGGTAGTAACAAGCTAAACTAGGCATGAATGTTCTGAAACTCATGGATACTGGGTTTTGGGAATAGTCTGGGCTGGTCCAGACTGCAGTAATAGGGTGGGGGCTGGATTTGGCTAGAACATCCTCCAGCCCATACAAAGGCCGGGAGGGAGGGGGCAGACTATGCTAGGTAAGGGTCTAGCACCTGCTGGCACATGTGAGATCTGGGTCTAAAGGTGGGCCTGGAGGGGAACTTGGGCAACTCCCCTGGTGGGCCATAGCCCCTGCTGGTGAGCATGTGATTCAGGCCTGGATGTTGGTCAGGCCGGCAAAGTAGCTCCACCTGTTGGTAAGTGTGTGGGTTGAATCTAGAGGGAGGTGGACTGGGCAAGGCCAGGTCCATGTTAGCCCACTGGCATGTGTAGGAACCAGGCTGGAGAATGGGTCATACTGTGCTAGGCTATCACACCTACCAGTATGCATAAGCCAGGGATGGGAGCAGACTGGACAGAGCTAGGCTGCAGCACCCCTCAGCAAGAGTTGGGAATGGGGGTGAACTAGGTTGAACCAGGCTGCAGCATCTAATGGCAAAGGCCAAGACAGGGGCTGGGGAATGCAGAGCTAGGTCAGAGTAATCTCTGGAACGTGCAAGATGTGTGACTTGGAACAGGCCTGGCTGGGGAGCTAAGGTGACACTCTAGCTGAGTTGTAGTTCTCACTGGCGACCATGAGAGCTGTAACAGTGGCAGCGCTCTGGACTGGACATGACTGCATTATCCCTCAGCATGAGTGTGGACTGGGTCTGGGGGTTGCCAGCTTCATGTTTTACCTTTCTTTGTGATGGCAATCTCAGAAGGTGCTGTTTCTGATTTTGGTTGAGATGCCGAGTCAATTAGATCTCCATCATGAGGACTTGGTGACGTTTCAGGAGGAGGACGAACAGGACCAGAATTGGGACTGCTGCTCACAGCACCATCTGCAAAGAGAATCTGAAGGGGAAAGGCCTCAGCACTCTCAGAACCGAGCAAGAAGCTGATTAACAATCAGCACTGGCTGGGCAACTGATTCATCTCCAAATCATTCAAGAACAGCGCTGTTTTCAGTGCTGCTGACTCAGTGTCAAAAGCATAGAACAGAGATTGGAGTTGTAGTTTAGAGACGCTAACTTTAGCAATCAGTATGGTTATTTTATTTTCTATTTATTTTGTTTTCCCCTTTTTAGGTGGCTTTCAGGGTTTTTTTTTCTATTCTTTTTTCTTTCCTTACTAATGAGAACAATTTTAAATTCTATTTCAGTTTTTAAAAGGAGTACATTTAAACTTTCTTCAGATAGTTAAATGTTTAGTATCCATTGATAGCAACTATATGTGGTATCTCTAGGTATTATAACGACATCCATCTATTATCAGTACGAATAGCCTTCCAATTAACATGACAAGGAAGTCCATTATCTATCTGGTTCTTTTTTCTTTTAAAGAGTCATTTTGCTGAAAGTCAAAGGCACACACACACACACACACACAGAGCACGTGCGAGAGAGAAACCACTTCTAGTTCATTCTCCAGTGGCTTCTATAGCCATGGTCCCGCCAGGGTGAAGGTCAGAGGCGGGCGCTCCATCCTTATCTCCTATGTGGAAGCAAGATTGCGTGTCCTTGAACTGTCTGTTGCCTGCCAGGTGCATGAGAAGGGAACTGGATCCAATGCAAAGGGATTCCAAGCAGGAACTCTGACAGGAGATGTCTGTGTTCCAAACAGCCATTTAACCCACTGTGCAGCAATGCACCGTCATCTGATTCTTGTTCATTTGGAGGTAACTGGTAACTGCTTTTCTGAGATTTTCTATCAATGCAGTCTTCAGAACTGCATGATGACATATAAGTAATCTTTTAAAGATAATTAGTGGCAATCCTGATTGGTCATTGGTCAATTTAATTTTTTAAGTGCTGGGATATTTCTTATGTCTTTATTTTTCTCCTTTATTTCTACTATTTTGCTATTCTGGAAACTCTACCATGTAGATCCCATTTCCACATCTCTTAACCTTTCCTCCGAATCCATCCCTCCCACTCCTTGCTATGTCACAATTATTTAAAAAATTTTTAGCAACACTTGATGTTTTTCATTAGCCATTTTTTAATGTTTATTTTATGGAATGTTAACCTCTTTTCCACCTATTTTACGTACTTTAAAAACATTTGCTTTGTGTATGTTTACTTTTATTTCCTAGGTTGTTATTTTTGAATTCCACTGATTTTTGGTACTTTACTTTTCTGGGATTGGTTTCCCTCCAAGATCATACTTCTCAGGTGTGTGATCCTGTTTCTTATTGAGAATCTCTCTTCAGTTCTTGGTAGTGTAATACATGGTTGTGGAACATGGTTGTAGGCCCTCCTTCCTGTGGTTACTGCAGAGAGGTGGAGGAGGGCACGTGACTGGTTTCCATCCTCTAGGTGGTAGTGAAGACCTAGGAAAGTTTCTGATGTGCTGAGCTCAGGGCTCCATCTTCACAGAATCTGTGTTTTGATTTCTATATTTGGAGCAGGTTTTTCTTCTGCACATGTTTTTAAACTTTGCTGTTTATGTTTCCATCAGTTTGTTCCTGTCTGACTCGCATCCTTAAGGACTTTCTAGATGTTTCATTGTTCTCTAAAAAATTAAAATTCTCATGGATTTTCCTTTTCCTCTTTAAGTCTTTTTCTTCCTATCATTTTAGGAAGAAAATGAAGCAAGCACTGTGTTCTGTCTATAATCTTGGACCATGACAAAAATGAGAAGTTTGTGTTCTGTGTGCATGATTCCCCCTTTAGCTATGATGTGCTTCATTCTTTTAAAGCGCCATCCCTGTTTCAAGTGGTTGTTCTTCTCTGTACAGTAATGCTCCTCACCCATGCTTATTTGTTTTTTCCTTCTCAATAGGAAAAGGTCATTTGCCTCTCACATCCTGCTCACCTGTGTGGATCCATCCAACATGTATTTGATAACAGTGCCTTGACAGGTGATAACCCTTGATGCCTCCTGCACCATGGGTAGCATCGTTGTCTTATAGAACTCATGGTGCTTCACCCTCTGGGGATAGCTCTGACGGACCATGATTTCCCAGGTGGGCTCCTCGTCCACAGCATATCGACCTTAATAAAGGAAAAAGAATACTTCACTGTGAAGTGGATGATTATGGGGATGGATTACATCTTCTTGCTTAAAGCTTTTCACTCTTTTGTCTGCATCTGGATAATACAGCGGTTTCTGTACCATGACAGATAACCCAGTGAAGTTGTTTAATTAAATCCATGACACCTCAGGGCACAATTATAGAGGTGGCTTAGCCTTTGAGGAAACTGCTTCCACTAGTGAGCATAGGAGCTAGGACTGGGGGTGGGCCAGTAGGAGCCAGGCCAAACTGGTTTAGGCAGTTGCACCCAATGGCATACACGAGAGCCAGAATGGGTGAAAGCCAGCTGAGCAAGGCTGCAGTGCCAACTGGCAATGCTGAGACTGAGTGTGAGTCTTGTCACACTTGTGAACATGCCTGGTGGGGGAACTGTGGGCACTCTGTACTGAGCTGTACCTATGACTGGTGAGCACAATAACCAAGGCTGGGAGCAGGCCAGACTGTACAAGGCAGTGGCACCTATTACCATATATATGGGCTGGTTTTGTTTGCTGGGCTGGAGTGAGCTAAGCCACAGTACCTATGAGTATGTACAAGAGCTGAATGGGATGTTGGATGGGCTAGGCAAGATCAATACGTGTATTGTCTGGTGCAGGTGACAAAATGAACCTGACCCTGCACTGACTGGCGCACCTAAGAGTCAAGTCTGAGATCAGCCCAGGCAAGCTTTCTAGGGGGACTCCTCAAGTAGATCACTGGACTTAGATCTTGGCCACAGGGAGAATAACAGTGCATGTAGTTCAACCTTGGAGTGCATGTATCAGGACTGGGCCTCCTCAGTTACTGATGTGTGTACAGTGGACAGCATGTCCAGTTGCACCAGGGGAACCTGACGATCAGGGCAGCAGGGGATGTCAACTGCCGGATGGAAACAGGATGGAAAGCAGAAGAGGTTGGACAATTCTCCAGGCAAAACGTGGCAGCATGTTCCTGGGTCTGTGGATGCACTAAGGTGAACTTTGTAAACCAGTAGACTTTGGAAAGATTTTCTTAACCCTGGAGCAAAGAAATTGACAACATCTCAGGGACATTGAAACTATTCAAGTTACACCCTTGGAATACTCCTCCCTACACTGGGGTCTCTAAAGTATCAAGGGACCATCTCTCATCCACAGGTGCTGATGTAGTTTGACAGTTTGCAGCGGCCCTCTTTCCTTCTTCTGTGAACAAAGGAGAAAAAAAAATAAGACTGAAACACATGCCCCACCCACTTTCCTTGGTTCCTGACCTTTCCCACTCTAAACAGAGGCCCACATGGGTATGCATCCCTCTTAACTATGAACAATATTAAAAATTAAATTAAAAATAAATAAAATGCTGGGGAAAAAAGATGATGGACTACAGGCAGATTCACCAATTAACCAAATTCTCTCTCCTGACACAAGCATGAAAATATGAGGGTGGATAATATACCTGATAGGAAGGACAGATGAAAGGTGTCAGGTTCTGGTCTGATGACAGGACCAATCAAATAAGCAGAAAAACACCTTTCCTTGAACTTGAACATTTTTCCCAGTATACTCTTGGCAAATTAAGCATTTGTTGAAACTATCTGGTCTGTTGGATCCCAGAAGAAACCTGGACCCATCAGTGTTCCATGGAACTAGCAAAAGGATCATTTTTAACAATGTAGAAATTCTAATGCAAAGGAAAATTTCAATAAAATTGGCAAACTACCATATTTGGCTTATTTCAGTTGGCAAGTAAATGAAATGTGGGCTACTTTTTAATATTGGCATAATCTTTTCCTTTGATACTACAGTTTTCAAATTCACTGTCCATAAGGGAATTATCATAAAGAGACTATTTGGTTGTAAAAAATAAGACTTCAAGATCTACTGAAATAATCTAATATTCAAATTAGAAGTTATGGTGTGAGAGTAACGTAAAAGAGGGATTGCATGGTTAATTAGTGCCAAGGACAGCTTTAGAATTCATGTCCTAGGGTACGGTAGCCTAATGGCTAAAGTCCTTGCCTTGCAAGTGCTGGGATCTCATATGGGCGCCAGTGTTAATCCCAGCAGCCCAACTTCCCATCCAGCTCTCTGCCTGTGACTTAGAAAAGCAGTCAAGGACTGCCCAAGGCCTTGGGACCCTGTACCTTTGTGGCAAGAGGCTCTGGGCTCCGGGCTCCATCCTGGCTTTGGATTAGCACAGCTCTGGCTGTTGTGGCCACTTGGGGAGTGAATCAACAGAAAGAAGATCTTCCTTTCTATATCTCCTCATCTCTGTAATCTGACTTTCCAATGAAAGAATTCATGTCTTAATTCTGTTCATTCTATTTGGCATTTACTCCATTCACAGTGATATTGAGTTTCAAATAGATGATAATTAAACTCAATTCCCAAAGTTGACTCTCATGAAATAATTAAATTAGTTCTATTTGTACTTGTTTATTAATCTGGACAGCTATGTACAGAATCAACACAAATGACAGGCTCGGTAAAATTATACAGTAACTCAGGGAAATGAAGAAAGACTTGCTTTCTTCATTCACGTCATCAACAATTGTCTCTACTCTGTGCTCACTGTCTTAGTTTGATCACAATGTCCTCATGCTGTGTAGTAGTTATCTGTAGTAGAAAGAAGACACAGGGACCACACAGGAGTTTTAAGATCATTGGCTTTTGTGGTCTGCTATTTAACTTGCTTAGGCAAGGTGCCAAACCTTCTGAAGCATCTTTCTTTCGTTCATAAAATGGGTTTATTGGCACTTAGATTTAGGTACTTAAGGTTTTTCATTTATCTTTACTATTTATGGAGTGTTTACCCATGGTAAGTGTTCACAAAATGATCATTATTATGAATCTCATTATTTAAAAATAATCTCTTCTTCATTACCAACCACAAGCATGAAAGTGACAGGAAAATATACAATTCTCAAGGTTGATCTGATTGTTTTTTAGTTATATTTTGCCACTTGCTTATCTGTCTCATACCAGTGGGCACTCACCTGGACACTCTTGACCTATGAAGGTCAACAGAAGTCCATTGGGGCAAGACACATTTAGGTTTTGAAAGGTGGGAACATACGTATTCTCTGGTAAAATGGACTCTTGGTCTACTTCTTCCTGTAAACAAATTAACACGTGAATAATAACTTCTCAATTTTTAAATATGCTGTCATTTATCTTGACTAAGCAATGATTTGTTGAGAGCTTATGTAGGTAGGTTAGTAGTACGGATGTATATATTCCTACCTTTGAATAGCTATATAGTTGCTCTTACAATGGATTATAGACAGGTGAGACAAATTATAATACCAACTATTTGGCATGTATATCCTCAGAAAAACGAGTGATTAAAAGTTAATTAGAATAACTAGGACAAGATTTATGAGGAGTTGGGGCTTGAAGTGTTTCCTTTATTTTATGTATAGGAATAAGAGTAATGTGATGGAGTGACTTTTGGCATCCCAGCAAAATGTATACATTGGTACCTGCTATCTAATGTCTTGGTAGTAAGAAGTGGAGCCTTGGGTTCGGCTCAGTGGAACGTTAGGCTAATTCCCTATCTGCAATGCTGGTACCCCATATGGGTACTGGCTTGTATCCCAGGTGCTCCACTTACCATCCAGGTCCGTGCTTGTGACCTGGATGAGCAGTAGAGAATGGCTTAAGCCTTTGGGACTCTGTACCCACATGGGACACCCAAGGAAGTTCCTGGGTCCTGGCTTTGGATTAACTCAGCTTTAGCCACTGCAGCCATCTTGGGAGTGAATGAGCAGATGGAAGATCTCTGTCTCTCTGTCCCCCTTCCTCTCTCTCTCCTTCTCTCTGTAATTTTGCTTTTCAAATAAAAATAAATAAATCTATATAAAAAAGAAGTGGAGCATTTTAGGAAGCTATTGAATCATGAGAGCTCCATCTGCTTGAATGAGATTAGTGCCCTTATAAAACGGAGTAAAGGGAGTTGCCTTTTGTCTTATGCCACAAAATGACACATAAAAAAAGCTAGCTAGGAGCAACAGGTCCTCCTGGGTGTGGAATCTGCTGGTGCCCTGATTATGGAGTTGACAGCCCTAGAATTATAATAAATGGTTATAGATTGAAAATCACTCAGTATAAGGTATTTTTACAGATTGGAAATCACTCAGGGTAAGGTATATAGACCACAAAGGCAAATGATACAGGAAACCAAAATTCCTACTATCTTCTAGGTGCTTTTTATGGTTTGGGTGTCAAAGCTATTATACTGTCAACATCTGCTCCCACTTTTCTATAGCAAGCATGCATTGGTTTTGTAGGAAGTAAAAGCAAAAAGAGACAATGAAATGTCATTTATAAATTAGTGATGTTTTAAATGTTCATTCTGTGCCATTTATGAATTTATCTCTTGTTTGGCTATATTGTCATAAGGTGATGTTATTTGATAATTTCCAAACAATTCCAAATGGCAATCACTTCAGTTTTTCCAGTTTTCTTCTTTTAGGCTGTAAAATCACTTTAATCAATTCCCCATTGCTGAACCTTTAGCTTATTCTAATTTTTTTATTAATTACGTTTTTGAGGAATTAATTATTCCAAATGATTGTTGAAGTTGGTATTCCTTTCATTTGCTTCTGGAAGGGAGGAAATATCAGCAATTTTAGGCAAAATGAATTAAAAACACAAATCTAAGTTAAGAAGATAGAGCTTAAGAAATTTGGTACATAAACAAACATGCTCAAACCTGTAAACATGCTTTGTTAAATCTATCATAACATGTAAAACCAGTAAACCAGTAACTCCCCCCTGCCTTCCCATTATCATCACTCTTATGAAATCATCAGTGAATTGTTGGGCTTGCTATCTAGTCACTTTTAGCCAAATTCCCTTAAAAGAATTATCAAGTGTCACTTTGTTCAACACTTGAACTTTTTTTTTTTTTTTTTAACAAAACAAGGGTCAACAGGGTTCTAACATGAGAATAAGTTAAAGTCTGGGTATCTGAGTGTATGAGTCTCTCTCTCTCTCTCTCTCTCTCTCTCTCTCTCTCTGTGTGTGATAGAGAGAGAGATACAGAGAAAGAGAAAGAGCAAGTGCTGTGATAAAGCATTAAAAGTAGAAGATAGTCTAATCTTATATTAGAAGTGGGCTGTCCCTTGATATTGCTAAATTCTCAGCACATCAATTTTTAAACTCTAGTCTACCAAATAGCTTAGTACAGATATTTGCCTCCTGATTAATCTTTTCTGTTGAACTAAATGAAATACTAAAAATAGAAAAATTTTTTGCAAAATTAACCAACCAATAACAAAAGAAAAGTGAGGTTGGGAAAAGGTTGACCGATTCTTTCAATGCTTCAAATCAATGACTTGAGACAATCTGCATTATGACAATATGTCTTAGAGAGTGGGGAGTCCAGTATCTGTATGCAAATCAATCTTTTCCTTCCAAAATTGATACAAGTAATGTCAATGCATCCACACAACAAAATCTATGTATTGTAACAACACTAGTGACATAGCCACAGTCAGGAGTCGTCTACCTTTTTATCCTCTTCTCTTGGGTGTTCCTCCTCTTTAAGAGAATCTTTGGGTTTTTCTTTGCCTTTTACTTTCCCTTTTGCTTTGCTTTGAGGAGCAGTCACGGCAACAGGTATTGTTGTTGGAATGTGTATTGAAGGGATATTCAACATTGCTTCCAAATCAGGATCCTTATCCTCTAAAAGCAGAAAAAGAGAAAAACCACTCATATTTGATACACTTATTAAATAAGACAGTTGGTTCTTAGGACGGATATATCACAGTTAATCTGTGCTGCTCAGTGCCTGCAATAGAAAATACGGCACAGAAACTGAATGGCAATGGGAAATTCACCTGTCCTACACTCATTTATGGAGTATCTGCTGTGTAGCATAATTCAGTGGGTAGTTTATATTATAAAGCCCTCTAGTGCCATGTTGGATGTTTAGTCTGTGGTGGTAGGGGAACTATGGAGCATGGTAGGAATCAGGAAGAAGGCCCTCCATTGCAAGTCATCTGCAGCGTATGCTGTGGCATAATTCACCTTGGAATATCTAGAAAGCCTTTCCATGCTTTTACCTATCGAACTTTGTCTTGCTTTACTCCCAGTGTTCAGAATTCTCACCAACCCCCTTTTTTTTGGGGGGGGGTCTGGATAACTCTCTCTCTTTTCTAAAGACCCTTTAACTTAGTTTTGTCACTTGCTCCTTGAAGCATTTCTCAGGGTATTAAACTCTCAGCTGAGACCTGGAGTAGGAGAAAGTGTTATCAAGTGGCAGAAGAGTATTCTGAGTAACACTTCAGCCTAAGCAAATGAAAGTAAGCAAATGAAAGGCTGGTTGTCATCTAGAATTCGGGTGAAGAGTTGTATAAAATCTGTATGGGGGCCTGATTGATGTTCTCGATTCTGTATATATGCAGTGGGCCATTTGAAAGGCAACTGGAAGCAAGAATGATCTATTCCTCTTACCAAGAAGTTACAAAGTGCTCAACTATTTGGATTAAAAAATACTTGTGTCTAATTCTCAGATTTATTATCTTTTTCCTATATAAAAGGAGACTAAAATAGGTTTAGCTGTTTAAACACAGTAAGAGGAAGAGACCTGGTCTGGGAACCTATTTAGATTTTAGCAGATAAGGAATTTGTTAAATATTGATTCCATTGGTATCTTTAAGGAATGTATGACACCTATAGTTGTTCTAAATAGCCCATTATGCCTTCTATGTTTTAGTATATATACATGAAGTAATGCATTATATATTATCTATACTCTTAACATTTTTTGAATGTAGTACTTATAACTCAATACTAGGGACATTCTCCTTAAAGGGAAGGCTTTACTATTAAGAATTTAATCAACACTATAGAGATCACTTAGGAAACAGAAGCAATACAGTTCATAGAGTATGGAGTAAACAATGTAGTCTAAGATAATAACAACTTGTGCTCAAAATTAGGGATTGTGTGTTGATAATGAATTAATTTTTTTTTGTTTTAGGTACAAAGTGACTTCTTTAAACAACTGGTTTACAAACAAACCAAATCTAAAATTCAAACACAAAACCCCTTAAAAAGCCAAAGCACTTAACCAATCCAATGGGCCCTTTAGCTCTCTAGAGTACTAGGCTAAAAAGAACAAAAAAGAAAAAAGATGATAATTATTCATGGAGATGCTTTCTCTGTGGGGAAAGTGCTGTGTAGTAAGATGAATAATTAGATCAGTGATCTATATTAACACATACTTTCAAAGCTATATCTACCATAGGGATTACTTGTAGATTCTGTAATGCTCTTTTTTTTTTTAAGGAAAAAAAACATGCTATGCTTGAATCCCTCTAAAATGTATGGGTACCCAAAGATTTCCCAATATATTTTCATAAGTTGAGACACTCTTCTGTGATTTGAATGAAAATAGATCCCAGTAGGAGCATTTGTTTATTATAAGTGGGGTAGAGAAATCTTCTAAGATGCCCAATAAGTGGCTCAAGTGAGACTAACATCCTGAAAGCACATTAAGTGATTCATAAAAATATGGCTTTGCAGAAACTCATGATTCCTTTGGCACCTACTGACAGGCTTGTTTTCATGGGCTAGCTAACACAGAATATCTGTGATCTTGCATGTATATGTGATTATATAAAGTAATAAATAATAAATAATTTTTAACATATCAAAGCATTGTTATTAGCTGTACAAGATGTCTTTAAAAAGTTTATTAAAAACATGTATTACAGAAAAATCATCCCAGATTTCAAAATATTTTTCTCCAAAGTGACCTCATTTTTTATAATTCCATTTTTCTATGAAACTTCTGAAGTTTCTTCAAAAACAATTATATGCATGTGCATACATGTATATATGCAAAAACATGCATTTACACAGATGAATGTGCACATACACATTATGTTCTCCCAGCTTGGTGGAAAACTCGTGAGATATGTTGTTTCAGAGCATGCTACTGACAAGTGAGCAGACTGAGGATGGTCAGGGAACCTGGTCACAGGACACACTCAGGCTTGACCTCGCACTAATTTTACCTGGTGCCATTCCACTGGGTCCATAGTAACTTATTGAGAGGCAGATTCCATTTTCTAATGTGGCAGAAAAAGATCCAAATTTGCTGATGGGCTTATTTTCGGCAGGTAAAACTTCTAAAAGACAAAATACAATCAAGATTATTTTTATTTTATTCAAAATCGATGTAAGCCATGTTTAGTGAGAAGGCTAGGAATTGAGGCCTAGAGTAACCAAATTAAAATTGTTTTAACTCCTATCACTTACTCAGGGATGTTAAAAGTGGGGTAAAATTACAAAGATGAGAACACGAGACTCTTAAGAAGTTTGAGTTTCAGCTGAATGAAAAGAGAGAACAAACTTATAAATGGCATAGTCACAGGCAAATGGTTCATTTGTCAAATTATCTGTCAAATTTTCACCTGGTTGTTAAGGTGAAAATTAATCTCAATTTCCTCATATTTCAAAACACATTTCTTATATCATATAATTAATTAAGATTGGACAGTAAGGACTTAGAATATCTCACCCATGAAGAGAGAGCCTCTGGACTGGGATATTCACGTGAGCAATAAAACACAGCAGGTCATGTTTCCAAGAAGATGAAAGGAGAACCCACAGCCAGGGAGAAAATATCACCAAATTTCATATCTAAGAAAGAGTGTTAATCTACCTACACAGTAGATTAAACATAAACCCAAAACCTCAACAGACGTTTCACCAAAGAAGATAAACAGAGGGCAAATAAGCATTTGAGAAGGTGCTCCCTACAGTGTTATTAAGGAAATGTGAATTGAAGTGAAATACATTTATTTGAAGAGAGAAAATGCAAGACTCTGACAACACCAAATGCTGGCAAGTATGTAGAGCAATAGGAACTTCATTAATCACTGGTGGGAATGCAAAGCAACATAATCCCTTTGCAAGATAGTTTAGATTATTACAAAACCAACATACTCTCACCATATAACTCAACAATCACATCCTTCGGTATTTATCCAAAGGAGTTGAAAATGCATATGCACTTTAAAATCTGCACACATGTGTTTCTAGCAAAGTATTTTTTTCTTTTTAAAAAAATTTATTTATTTTTATGCAAGAGACAGATTTATAGAGAAGGAGAAATAGAAAGAAATAAGAAATATATTCCATCCACTAGTTCATTCCCCAAATGGCTGCTGTGGCCAGAGCTAAGCATATTGGAAGCCTGGAGGTTATTGCAGGTCTCCCGTGTGGGTGCAGGATCCCAAGGCTTTTGGTCATCCTTTACTGCTCTCCCAGGTCTCAAGCATGGAACTGGATGGAAAATGGAGCAGCTAGGATATGAACTGTCAGACACATGGGATCACAGTACTTGAAAGGTGAGGATTTAGTGACTGAGCCTTTGTGCCAGGCCTGAAACTTTCATAATAATTGCAAAATCTTGGAAGTAATCAAAATGTACTTCAGTAGATAAATGGAGAAATACTACAGATAATGAGTATTATTCAGTACTAAAAGAAAACAAGATACCAAGCCGTGAAAATGCTTGGGAGATAAGATAAACTCATATATTACTAAGTCAAAGATGTCAACCTGAAGAGGCTATGCCCAGTATGATTCTGATCAGGACCTTTTGGAAAAGGTGTAACTATAGGCACAGTACAGTGGCCAGAGGTTACTAGGAGTTAACAGGACACATGCTCAGTAAAATATAAATGACCTCTGAGATTAATTTTTTACATTTTTATAGCATATAAAATTTTAAGATGTACTTTTCTGGAATTTTAAAATATGATTTGCCTGCCATATCATTCGGTATTCAGTAGATTAATTAAAGGGAAAATAATTGCTTTTGCTAATGGAAAGAATTCCTTGGATAATTAAGTAAAAAACTATCAAAAGTTTCAACAGAACTAAGTCATGGAGAAGATATAAAGACATGGGTGATTTGTTTCAGTGGATATTTCAAGGTACAGATGTTACAGAAGGGAAAATATAGGACACACGAGGGAGAAAAAAGATTAACAACCAAACCAGATTCTCTGAATTGAGGCTGAAGCTTGATTCTCAGATTAGTAGGGTTCTTCAAATTTGAATCTAAAAGTTGCAAGGCTGCATCTGTGACCAAAATTCAAGAGAGGAATGAATGATGATCCAGGGATCCTGTCTCCAGCCAGGATACCATTCAAGATGTCCATAGGCATGTAAACAATCAAAGGACTCACTATGACGTGTCTTATCCTAGAGGAGAACTTAATATCATTAAATAAACAATAAATAAGCCAGAATAGAAACTTTTATAAAAGGGAAAGAAAAAGCAAGCTGTAGTAATTAATGATCATTACTTTCCTTCTTTGGGTCTTTTTTTTTTTTTCCTGTGACTGTTGTCATTCTCCCTAGAAGCATAGGTTTTTTTTGGTGGGTTGTGAGGGAAGGTCAGATATTAAATATTTTTAGGCTATGGAGGCCACATACGAGACCCTCAAAAATTCATGTAAAGTAAGATTGGAGTATAGGCTTATTTCGGAGCAAATTAGGGGTTTCCAACTTATTAATGGCAAATGTATAATATGAAAAAGCTATACATGAATTTTAATTCTTGCACCAAAATAAACTTTCTGTTTTAAAAAGAGCTTTTTACTTTTTTTATTAAAAAGGAAGATTTACAGAGAGAAGGAGATACAGAGAGGAAGATATTCCGTCTGCTCCAACTTTCCTTTTAATTCAATTTTGCAGGAACTTTTGGAAGTAGTCTCATATAATCTTTACTGTATATTCTTTTGTTTTCACTTCTAATTTAATTGAAAGGCAGAAAGAGAAAGATACTGGCAAAGAGACAGACAGACTGACAGAAACCTATTTATCTGCTGGTTCACTCCCCAAGTACCCACAACAACCGGAGCTGAGTCAAGCTGAAGTCAGGAGCCTAGAATTCAGCCTAGCTTTCCCACGCATGTGCTGTTTGAGCCACTGACTGCTTTGTTCAAGTCTGCATTAGCAGGAAGCTGGGTTGGAAGCGGAGGAGCCAGGACTTGAACTGGCTATGCTTATGCAGAATGTGGGAGTCCTAAGTGGTGACAACCTCTTATATAAATACACAGAGAGGAGTAGAGACAGAGAAGATCTTCCATCTGTTAAATCACTCCTTAAGTGGCCACAATGGCTAGAGCTGAGCTCATTCGAAGTCATGAGCCAGGAGCAAATTGGGTCTCCCACGTGGTTGTAGGGTCTCGAGGCTTTGGGCAGTCCTCCACTGGTTTCCTATGCCACAAGCAGGGAGCTGGATTGGGAAGCAGGGCCGCTGGGATTAGAACCAGCACCTGTAAGGGATCCTGATGCATGCAAGCCACTAGGCTACCCCGCAGGGCCTTTTTTTTTTTTAAATAACTTTTTACAAGTGTATAATTATCCATGATTCATGGGACATACAAAACATATTTTTGGTCAAATTTGGGCCAAAGTTTAAAGACTTAAAGCTGAAAAGCAAAGAGGGAAAAATGGTCTCAAAATGAGATTCTTAATATTTGAGCAGAAAAGGAGGTATTATTAGTGTTGGTGCCATGGCGTAGCCAGCTAAGTTTCTACAAGTGGCTCCAGCATCCCACATGGGTGTTGCTTCAAATCCTGGCTACTCCACTTCTGATCCAGCTCCCTGTTACTGGCCTGGGAAAGCAGCGTTAAAGGTCTCAAAGGCTTTGGGCCCCTGCACCAATATGGGACTCAGAAGCTCTTGACTTCTGTCTTCAGATCTGCTAGCTCTGCAGTCTGTGGCTATTTAAGCAGTGAACCAACAGATGGAAGATTTCTTTTTTGTGTGTGTATCTCCTTTGTTCTCTGTGACTGCTTTTCAAATAAAATTAAGAAAAAAAAAAGAATACCTAAGTATACAGAAAAGGAAAGGATTGACTTCTACATACAGAAATAAATACATTTGAAATACACACATAACCAAATATGAATGTAAATGTAGTAATTTATCTTGGAGGAAATCACATACATATATAAAAGCATTGCATAATTAAGTAATTTTATACCAATGATACATGGCTAAATCATTAACATCTTGTTTTTAAATATAATTTATGATTAGGAAAATGCTAATAGTGTAATAATAGTGACAATAGTGTGAGAAAGACATGAAGTATGATTAGTGACCATTACTCAAATGGTGGACTTATAAACATTTATCTTCCTTAAAATATTTTCCTATTTCCTGACTTATAGTAATTCACATATTTTGCTAAGTTCTTGGGTACATGCATACTGTCAAATTTTGTACCCTTTGGTTTGGAAAATACTATGGTATTTAAAGTTATACTCGTGTTTAATCATACTGAGCCTATCCTTGGGTCAAAATGTTTTTACTAATGAACTCAATTCTTTCTGTAGAGATGAAAATATCCACATTGGACAAGAAAGAGTTAAGTCCCCTAACTGTTATTAGAGATATTAAATGGTGTAGTTCCAAGTGTTTAGTCAGTAGATATCTAATTGTTGCTTCTAATTAGGTAATGACTCTTGTGGTCAAATTTATGATTTTTCTCTTGTTTGGCAATCTAAAAAATAGGTTCCTCTTCTCACTTCTTCTTAAGTGGTAGAATCAGTTGAGGAAGAAAGCTACACCACAAACTGTAAATTTGGACAAAAATTAAAGCTTCCTAGGGATCCATTAGTGATTACCTGAGTCCAAGGGCAGAACGGACATGAGAGTCCAGGTAGCTGCAGAAAAGCAGCCAGTCTTGGGTGGACTCTAGAGGGCATTTAAGAGCTGGGGATGCAGAGGGAGCGAGGTCAACTGAGCAACCTCTTATAAATGGGCTCTGTAGCTAACACATACGCAAGTTACATTAAGGAAAAATGTGTATAAGCGAATAACAGAATACCTCCATTAGCATCTACAACAGTTCCCTGTGCCAAGTGAGAGGGAAACAGGTTTAGCACATTGCTAAGTGTTGACCTGTACTGCCACAGACGCAGCCGCTTACTTGTTTTAAGATTTTGTTCCTCTTCTTCCTCCTCCTCCTCTTCCTCACTCTCTTCTGAGACATACTGCTTTCCTTCCTTTTCCCTTTTCACGATTTCCCTAGGGTCTTTCAAATGAATTATAAAATGATGCTTGTCCTTTATCACTTTCACTGTGACAAATGTCGAACCTGAGGGGAGAATCAGGGCATTGGAGATGGGTGGATTAGAAGCCACTTTTGGTTTCTGGACAGAGTGTTTAAATCACACAGCACAGAGCTGAAACCAGGTGAGGGGCTGACCTGGGGATGCCAGCCGTTCTGTAAGATGACGCCCAAATGATCAAAGTGCTGGTCCACATTATTCCATAAACAAACGCCGTTCACAGGTATCCCAAACCAAACTACAGAAAATCAACCAACCAAGTAGAACACATCGATTGAGGCAATATGTTCTTATGATCAATTTTATTATAATTCAGCAGGTAAAACATATAATGGTTTTCAACTTAAAAAGCATGCTATTTTTGATAGCTGTTATTATTATTTCTATAGCCACTGTATGAATTCTCTCCTCTCTTTGGTTAAAATTTCTATTCTCTTTTTCAAAACTTAACTCTTTTCAAATCTGAACTATCATATCTCCAAACTGATAGGATTCGGCTGAAGATATTTATTATGAAACATCTGAAACCTAATGCATTCTATGACTACAAAATCTTAATAAGAGTTACAATAGCTAGTTATTCGTAGCAGGCCCCCAAGTTTTTTTTTTTTTTTGTAGTTTCAGAACCCAAACTAGAAAAATGCAATCAACTCACAGTATATGATTAGCTTCTGAACTAATATGTGTTGTAGTTAGTATTAGTAACTTCTGGCTTGTTTCAGTTGTTATTATTTACTTACCAGTCACGTAGAAGCATATTAATATTATAATAAATGAATTGTCATAATTAATGTGCTTCAGCTAAGCAGTATGCTGGCCTTTGCCTTGCTGAGTTCATTAAAACGGAAGAATGTCAAGTCTGAAAAATGCTGACTGTGGCATATAAATGAGTTGCAGTGGATACATCCATATTCTTGCCTATTTCACTCGGAAGTAAAAAGTCCCACGATTATCTGAGACTATAATATCTAGAAGTGATAATACAACACTATATGCATCCCTACTTCCAAATCAAAGATGGACTCCCAATGAAACTTTTGGACATATCTAGACAATGGGATGCTAGACTGTCTGACGCTGTCTGTACCAGCAATATTGGAACACACTTAAATAACAGACTGATGGACTTATGACTGCTTATGAAGGACTATACTATTGTAATAATATGAGGAAAATCAGTCGGAGGAGGGTGGGAATTTGGGGGGGGGTGGGTAAATCCTAGACCCTATGTATTTTATACCATAACATTCAAAATAAAAATAAATAAAAATAAATAAAATGCATTAACATCTTTCACGTCATTAGTCAGCTACTTTCAAAGTATACCTTTTACAAATGCTGTCTTCTCTACTTCAATCTGCCCTCCATCAGAAGGATACAGATAGTAATTAGTCCCTGAGATTTGCACAGGCACTTCTCCCATATTGTATCCGTGAAACTAGAAGAGAAAACATCACACATTTAGTGTGGAGTTGCAATTGACAGAATGAACCAAACCTGGTACAAGCTTCAGTTTTGCTAAATAGTCATGTCTTTACAACATTTACCAGTGTTAAAGTGATAGGTGGAGTTCAAGGTCTGTGATTTTTGAACAGGGCTCATTGGGGTACCTTTACAATCTAGTTCAAAGCTTTTCATTGCACTACCACCAGGAGAGTTTAAGAGGAAGCAGTGTTCTTCCTTACTGGCTGTTGATTTTCTCTGTAACCTGAACAGATGTATGGAAGCGGACTGATACTTTTACACTATAAAATATAATTTACAAAGGACTTTGTTTACCTAAGCTTTGCTAATAGAGCTACAGAAGATTCTGATGCTTGCTAGCTTGAGAACAACCTGCCTGGAGTAGTAGCTGCAAAGAACAGGGTGCTATGATTCCTTCGCACTAGGTTTTTCTCATGGTAGTCTGGTGAGGAAGCACCGGTTTTACAAAAGCATCCAAGCAAGGAGCATGGGTGCATGCAGAGAGGCAACCGCATCGACTCAGCCATCTCTATCATTTGAGACAGATAAAGCCAATCTTTGCATGCGTGTTGTCCCAATACAGTCACTTATTTCCACACACCTAAACTGATGGAAACATAGCCTCATGGCATTTCAGGGAAAATGGCCTGGCGTTGTTCCTAAAGAAGGTTCCAGATATTAAAGACTATAGATTTGAGCTTATCATGGCAGACGATGTGGTGATGGTGAAGGCAAGGGGATTGCATGTTTCCACAAGACAATTAAGAGCATCCCAAAGAGACTTTAGAGACTTGGTTTTACCGGGTATGTCTTCTCAGGCTCTGGCTGCTGGAGGGGTTCCTGTACCATTTCTGGGACATCTTTGATCTTATCCTTGAAAGAAGATTTTTTCTTCAAAGCCCTACTGTCTTCTTTGTCTACTTTATCCTTGCCTTGCTTTTTACCAACGTCTTTATTCTTCTTTTCTGCTTTCTTTTCTTCTTTTATCCGCTCTTCTTCTGCTAATCGCTCTTGTTCTTCTTTCCATGCCTACAAACACATTTAAAACTTTCGACAGATTTTGAAACAAATCAGATGTGTATTCTTTTTAGGTTCCTTTTGGAGAATATCCAACATGATTTCTCTAAGAGACATCTCTGACAAAACACAATATTGAGTTGGAACTTGGATCCCCCTTTCTCATCCACCTTTTCTACACTAAATTCTATAAATTATCCTCAGGGAACCCTCTCCACTTCAGCTCCTTTTCTCATCCTCTGCTGTGACTTTCTTAGTTTAGGTCTTTATTATCTTTAGTCTGGATTGGATAAATGGTTAAAAAAAACTTGGGAATATGTATATACACACAATGGAATAAAAAAGGGCAAGATCCTCACATAGGCAGCAAAATGATGGAACTGGAGATGATAATGGTAAGTGAAATAAGCCAGACTCAGAAAGATGAACATCCAGTGTTCTCTTTTCTTCTATGTGTGTAAATTACAGAGTAAAAATCTGGAGTTAAGGCTGGTGATTTCAGATGCTGGAAAAGGCTGGGGAGAGGGGAAGGAAGAGGTTGCATGATGGATACTAACACACAGCCACACAACTAACAGATCCTAATGTTGGACAGGGAGAGGTGGGTGACTACAGGTTCATGATAAAGGATTAAGTGCTGCAAAGAGAATGGGAAGACAAGACTACTGTATTCTAAACACAAAAAAAAGACACAGGAATAGAAACTAGTTGCCCTGTTTGATCGGTCTATGCTATAAGTGTGCTCACATATTATATTTTATTTCATAAATGTAAAGGCATTACTTACTGATCAACATTTAAAAAAAATTTAGAAATCTCAAGGAACTAAAAACAGTTTAACATTTCCAGAAAAATTTTTGACATATTTCTAAATAGAAATAAAAAATAGAAAACTCATCATTATAATGCCTAGCAGAAAAGTGACGGATATGAGAAGGCACCAAGCAAGTGACATCAGAGAGCACTGAGTGAAGTTACTGCTTCCCCTGGGGTACCAATCCTGACAGCTCAGAAAATATTTCAATGGATTATGGGGACTGGAGACGAAGCCTGGGCCATCAGAATCTTCTCAATGAAGGGAAATATTTTAGAAAATGACATATTCATTGGGTGAACTAAAAAGAACACAGAGAAGTGAAAAAGGATTCTAGCCTGTTTCTTTAGCCTTAATTAGGATTAGGAAATCACTTCTCAGAAATTTATAGCCACAAGCAAGTTTTCACTCAGATTTGTGACTAAAATGCATTTTCTTGCAATTTTTATTTTCAAAAAGCTATGGACTAATGTTAGCTCATAAAGGCTAATCATAAAAACAAAAGGAAATAAGCCATTTGGAGAAAGAACCTCAGAAAACAAACTGCTAAGTTATATCTTCAAAACATTTCACATGTGGACTTACTGTATAGAGAATAAAATATGTTTTTCAGTATGTTTAAATAAATAGAAGCAAGTATGAAAAATGTTAAGTAAGGAAGAGAAGAGTCTCAGGGCACCCATTTGAATCCTGGCTACTCCACTTCTGATCCAGCTCTCTGCTACTGGCCTGAGAAAACAGCACAAAAGGTCTCAAAGGTTTTGGGCCCCTGCAACAACATGGGATACAGAAGAAGCTCCTGGTTTCTGTCTTCAGATCTGCTCAGCTCTAGCTGTGCAGCCATTCGGGAAGTGAACTAGCAGATGGAAGATCCCTAAATATGTCTTGCCTTCTATCTTGATAACTGTCTTTCACATGAATAAGTATTATTTTTAGAAAATTAAAGAGAAAATGAGAAGAGCATCAAACATGATGAGTTTGTCAGACCTCTTGGCATGGGCATAGGACTTCCGAAAAGGCAACATTTTATGGCTAAGGCATTTGTAGAGTTGCTGAAAGAGACCAATAGCAACATGCAGAAAGCTCAGGGAATCAAAGGCAGGTGGTAACTGTTTGTCTGGGACTTGCTCATAGTGACTTGAATGGATTTGTTGTTGAAATCTTTAGGAAGTAATGGAGTTACCTATTAATTACAGTTATCATCAAAATAGTATATCAACACATTCAAATAAAATTTTGAAGATAAAGCCAATAAACATTCTTAAATCATCAACACATGATTATTTTGGTACATTTCATTGGTATCTATGTTCATGAAGTCATGTCAATTGTCTGTGAAAACACTGGATTATAGGCTACTGAATAGTGCTTCCGATTTGGCATCCAATGACACCACATTGGAAGCTGGACACCTGTCATGTTTATGCTACAGACAGCAACAAACACTACAAATCAAGGACATATTGATGGGTGGCAATTATTGAGACTTAATAAAGTGATAGACAATATTAACACTAGATTAAACTTTCAGATGTCTCATGTTGGTAGCTATCACATTTTAGTGAGCACAAATGAGGAAAATTTCTTCCACTATTCCAAAGTAATTCTGCAAATTAAGTCTGCAAATTAGTGTCTAATGCCTCATGTGAGACAGACATGCCCGTTAGTTATGTCTTCCTTAAAAAAGTTTGGTTTTGTTAACATATGTGAAAATATCAATCAGTGCTCAAATTGAACCTAGGGTTGTTGGTTAACTGTAACCGTAATTTGGCTAAGGATATAAGAATTTAGCAAAAGTCAAGAAAATATGCTTTTAGAGAGTCAATTTGCAGTATAGAATTTATAATACAAAGCACCATGTGCTTTATTACTATAAGCTGCTGTATTCCCATCTATCAGCAACATGTATAATAAAACGATTATGGTATACACTGTGCACATTAACACTCTCTCGCTTCCCTATGGAGTTACTGTTCACCAGTTATTACAAACTGTTTTCAAAAACAGCTAGAGAGAAAACACGGACTGCCTAAATTTGGTGATTACATTTCAATGGATAGAGTTTGGGAGGAGACAAATATTCCACCTACTGCAGTTGCTAAAAAGAAAACAAGCACAAGGAGGGGTACAGAACAAGTCTAAAACATAACCCAGAATCTCTCTGCAGAAGTCCTGTAGGAGTGTAGATCATACTAAAACTTCACTATTTCTTACCTCAGAGGCTTGGATTACTGGAAATTTTTATTTATCACAGAAACATTCATTATCTTCTTACCTTAAAATTTCAAATAAAATCACTGAAAACAAACACTTGCAATAAAAACAGAGCATATAGAGGACGAACAAAACACTGCCCTGGATTGTGGTTATGTAAAAATGAAAAAGATGCAATGCCTCAAAGATTTAATATCTAATGGGGATACTGGACAGATAACTGAAATTCCACTATTCCTGAGGAATTAACCAAAAAGTTGTTTATTACACCACACAAACTCCCCAGATGATGATTTTGGATTTATGAATAATCAGCATCATTTTGTCTTTTCTTGTGTTACCTTAAGAGAGCCTTCTAAAATGAAGGGATTCTTCTCCTTCTCCTTCTCTTTCTCCTTTTCTTTTTCTTGATCTGATATTTCTATCTTGCTGATTCCTTTATTACCTATAACCGGAAACAAACAAACAAATCTTTGTTAAACAACTCCGTTACATTAGGCATCACAGAGAACATCACTTCTCAATGCTATTGCTTGCTTGTCATCTCCAGGGCAGACATCTAAGCAAAATGGAACCTCGGTAATAAGGTTCTCACTACCTTGGGAAGCTGTGTATCCTCTCTTGTTGTCTCTTTGAACTGGAACCTCTACCCTAAAGCTGTCACCTAATTAATCCTAGCTTAACATTTAAGAAAAGTTTGTTCTTATTTAAAAGGAAGATTTTACAGAGATAGAAGGAGAGACGCAGAGATAGAAAGATCCTTCATCTGCTGGTTCACTCCACAAGTGGCCACAACAGTCAGAGCTGAGCTGATTTGAAGCTAGGAACCAGCAGTTTCTTCTGGGTCTACCATGTGGATGCAGGGGCCCAAGCACTTGCATCATTGTCCACTGATTTCCCATGCCATTCACAGTGAATGGGATCAGAAGTGAAGCAATCAAGATATGAACAGGTACCTAAAAGGGATGCTAGTGCCACAGGGCAGAGGATTAGCCTGCTGACCTCAGGCCCCATCAGTAGCTTTTTAAAAGTAACCTCATCAGTGAACGTTTTGCTAGGCATGGGAAAGGGTTCATTATCAACTTGGTTTGCTAAGCTTTGTCTTAGAGTCAAGTCCTCGGTAACTAACAGAAGTTGAAAAATCTTTAGAAATCATGTATCTTTGCTTTTTGTTAATTTTTTTTTTTTACTTTTTAACTTTATTTATGTAAAGGGGAAAAATATCATGTATTTTATACAGTTCTTTTTTTTTTAACCCATTTTTTTTTTATTGTTGCTTACATTGTATTATGTAGTACAGTTTTATAGGCGCTGGGGATTCCCTCCACCCCTCCCATACCCCTCCCCCCATGGTGGATTCCTCCACCTTGTTGCATAACCATAGTTCAAGTTCAGTTGAGATTCATTGCTTGCAAACACATGCCTAGCATGAAGTTCAGCGTCTTATTGTCCAGATAAGTTCAGTGGCCTCTTGGGGAGACCTTCTATGGTCTGAAGATAGGTCTAACAGAGTAAAGATCCGGTCAGTTAAAAGCCCCAACAAGGCCTCAATATCAATATACAACATTATGGAATTAATTGACATAGTATTGGGTAAACAATATGTTAAAAATAATGCAAGTTCCATTCTTCGAAACCTCTGGGTTGAGACAGTATCAATGACAGGTTCAAAAAATAACAAACAACCATACAAAAATTACAGGTTAAATCAAGGCAAACATGTGGTATCTAATCTTTTGGGATTCACTCATTTCCCTTAGCATTATAGTTTCCAGTTGTGCCCATTTAGCCACAAAGAACTGCATTTTGTTTTTTTTAATAGCTGAGTAGTATTCCATGGAGTAGATGAACCAAAGCTTTCTTATCCAATCTTCTGCTGATGGGCATTTCGGTTGCTTCCATGTTTTTGCAATTACTGATTGTGCTGCAATGAACATAGGGATGCATGTTGGTTTGTCGTAAAACAGGTGTTTTGGATATATTCCTAGGAGTGCTATTGCTGGGTCATATGGTATGCAGATTTTGAGTTGTTTGAGTGTTCTCCAGACTGATTTCCATAGAGGCTGTACCAATTTGCAGCTCCACCAGCAGTGGAGTAGGGTTTCCTTTTCCCCGCATCCTCGCCAGCAAGCATCGTTGGTGTTCTTGTTTATGTGGGCCAATCTTACTGGTGTTAGGTGGTACCTCATCGATGTTTTAATTTGGATTTCCTTTATTGCTAGGGAGCTGGAACATTTTTTCATATGTTTGTTTGCCATTTGGACTTGTTCCTTTGTGAAATGTTTGCCCATTTCCCGTGCCCATTTCTTGAGTGGCTTGTTCGTTTTGGTTTTTTGGTTGTTTTGAAGTTCTTTGTATATCCTGGAAATTAGCCCCCTATCGCCTATATCGTGTGCAAAGATCTTCTCCCACTCTGTGGGTTGCTTTTTTACTTTGTTGATTGTTTCCCTTGCTGTACAGAAGCTTCTTAGTTTGATGAGGTCCCATTTGTTTATTCTGTTCTCAACTGCTATTGCTTTTGGTGTCCTTCTTAGAAAGTCGGAACCTACTCCTAGGTCTTGCAGGGTATTTCCTACATTTTCCTGCAAGAGTTTGAAGGTTTCTGGATGTAGGTTTAGGTCTTTTATCCATGTAGATTGGATCTTGGTGTATGGTGATAGATGTGGGTCTATCTTTTTGTTTCTACAGGCTATCAGCCAGTTGTTCCAACAACATTTACTAAAGAGGCCTTCCCACTTGCTTGAGTTGTCATTGGTCTTTTTGTCAAAGATTAATTGGCTGTATTTGTGTGGGTTCCCTTTTGGTGCTTCTATTCTATTCCATTGATCTTCCCTTCTGTCTTTGTGCCAGTACCAGGCTGTTTTGATAACCACTGCTCTATAGTATGTCCAGAGGTCCGGGATTGTGATTCCCCCTGCTAACTTCTTATTTTTCAGGATGGTTCTAGCTATTCGTGGTTTTTTGTGTTTCCAGATGAACTCTTGAATCATTGTATCCAGTTCCGTGAAGAATGTTTTGGGCAATTTGATTGGAATTGCATTGAAAATGTATATTGCTTGTGGTAGTATAGACATTTTAATGATATTGATTTTGCCTATCCAGGAGCACGGGATGTTATTCCATCTTTTGAGGTTTTGTTCAATTTCCTTTTTAAATAGTTTGTAGTTTTCTTCGAATAGGTCTAAGAGTGTAATGATAATTTTCACTCTACCCTTCCTTGAGCTTACTCTCCCTCTTTCTTTTCCTATTTTTCTTTTAGTTTTTACAAGGAAACATTTAAAAATTTCTTTATAATCACAAGCTTAACTCTCCACTGGGTACAGAATTTAACAAATAGTAACTGAAAAAAAAAAAAGCACTGTTCTTTAAAAGTACAGGTAAGGGTTAGAAACAATCACCAGATCCCAAAATGTCAACTTTGCTCATACACATTACCTTTTATTATTTTGTTGTTTGTACTCTGTACTAATCCACAAATCAGAGAAAACATGTTATTTGTCCTTTGGGGACTAACTAAGCATAATGGCCTCTGGCTGTATCCATTTTGTTGTGCAAGACAAGATTTTATTATTTTGTGTGTATTTTGTGTTTATATACCATATTGTATATGTATAACTACCTTTTCCTCATTCAGTTGTCAGTTGTGGGATACCTGGGTTGATTCCACATCTGATCTGTTATGAGTGAAGTTGCTATAAACATGGTGGTTAATTTAACTCTTTCAAATGCTGATTTCATTTCCTTTGGGTAAATTACCAGGAGTGGGATGGCTAAGTAATATGATAGATATCTTCAAATTTCTGAGAAATCTCCATGCTGTCTTCCATTATGGTTGCACAAGTTTGCATTCTCACCAACAGGGAATTGCATAGCTGTGCTTATTTCTGAGAGATCACTCTCAACTTGGTTATCATAAATAACATTATTTATGGGGGTTTCATTTTCTTTGCACAAAACCAATGAAATATCCCATTTTCCAAGTGGACTACTTGATTGTTTTACTTATTTTGTCTATCCAATATTCTAAAAGAATCCACTTGCTTTGTCCCCTCTTCTCCTTTCCCCTTACAGTTTCAAAACTGAAAATTTACAACAAAAGACAAAGATATGTATTGAGCCAGGTCCCTGCCATAGATTTTCAAAAATCCTTTTTCCCTTCATCTCTGGGTTCAAAGTCTCAGCAAGTATTTGCTTTGGTGAAGAAAACTGTCTGATTATGTAATCTGTAATTATTCCACTGGAGTACTATTAACTCTGAATTGACCTCACATATTGTCAACAAGTCTTAGGTATCCTAACATAGCAATTGTGCCTATGAAATCATCTGATATTTCCATAGCATTTAATCTGCATAACAGATTTTGTCTTCTAGATTTTCAAAAAGGAGAGTAAACATAAGCCAAATGGTTGATTATTCCATGTAGGCACAATCTTATCACATTTATTCTATGTACCAGGAAAACTGAGCAGCCACAGGCATTTTGAGAGTGATTCTTTGTATTGCTGAAAGCGCCATCATCTTGATTAAATAATCGAGTACTGCCTTTGGACTTATTTCTTGTTTTAAGTCGAACTGACTACTTACTTTTAGATTTTTTAAGACCAAAAATTTTACTGGGGAGAGTGGCAATTTTGTTAGTGGTAGAACTTTTCATTTCTACTTCAGCCTTGGACTTAGCAATTTCCTCAGCCATTTTCAGTTCCTGGTATATAGCTTCTTCTTTTGTGACCCACTCTTGAATGGAATTTGCAATAAGTTCCAAGTAATTCCTAAACAAAGAAGAGCAGATGCAATGTTGTTACTAAGTCAATAAATACTCGGCATACTGATTGCACAAACGACTTTCAAAATGGAATATGGGGCATGTGTCTTATGTAGCAGTAAAGATAACAATGTCTTCTTTCCATATTGGAATGCCTGGGTTCCAGGACCAACCATCTCCATTACCAGTTCTTTGTTTTTTGCAAACTGTGGGAGTAGGTGATAGCTCAACTGGTTGGGTCTTTGTCATGCATGATAGAAATGGGTTCCAGCCACCTGTGTTTTGCCTGGCCAGGTCCTAGCTCTTGGGGACATTTGAAGAATGAACAAGCTATGGGAGTGAGCTCTCCCTCTATCCCTTTCTGCACCTCTGTCTGTTTCTCTCCTTCCCTCCTTTCCTCCACTTCAAATAAATGAGTATCACTTTTTTTCAAAGAAACACAAATGATCCTCAACTACCCAAATAACAACTATACTCAACATGGATATTCCCTAAAACTATTTTAGTATAAGGTAGCCCAAACATTCAGGGAACATATGAAAATTTCTCTGACAGAGAAATGCAGACTTTAAAAGAGTATCATTTCTTTCTTTCACCCAAGTAAAAGATTCAAAAGTTTGACAACATCAAGAGTTGATGACAATCTGGATAAACAGTCACTCAAAGTATTGACAGTTGAAAAGTATTATGGTACATTCTCTTTTTTTTTTTTTGAATAATTTTGTGGCACATAGAACTGTTGCAATGGGCTATCAGCTAAATGATTCACCCAGATAATTAATAAACCATAATATTTTTATGAAACTTGTTGGCCCTGGGTGCTTCCACATTTAAAAACTGTTTCCTAAGCTGTTTGTGCACTTGCGTTTGCATCAGCAAGTTGTTGTTTACCAAATGCCAGTCACATTTGGTACTTTTACTTACACTGATGAGTATAATTTTTTTAAACATTAAATGTTATAAATCACTTATATGAATGTTTAAGAAGACTTGATCCTGAAGAAGAAGAAAGTTGAAAGAATCAGATTTGATTACAGATATTAGTTATTGTCTAATTGTATGAAAATGAGTATTCAAATTCCAAGAAAATAAAGCTAGATGAATATGCCCAGGTTGCTTCACAATTTCCTTTAACTCTTGAGCTTTCTCAAAGGAACTCAGAACTAATTCCAACATTTTCTTTTAGAAAGTAACAGATAAGTTAAACACAACATGTCTCCAAAGGAACTCTTGAACTTTCCCTCAAATTTGCTGTATTTGACTTCTATGACACCTTAGCTGATGGCAAGACTATACTTGATGTTGAGCAGGACAAGTACCCCGACAGCTCCTGTTTTATCACACTCGTTTTCCAAGCTGTGCGAAGATGCAAATGATTTATTAAACTAATGTTAAACTAGCTGATGTGTAATGTATTAAAATCTGCGCACTTCTCACCTCCTTTACTGCTATTTTCCTGTCTAAACTACTATCATCTCTTTCTGGTAATAGCTACCATCGTCTATAGCAGGACTCTTTGCTCCTGTTCTTGGACACCGGGAGCATGTTCTCAACAAAATAACTAAAAAGACTATCTTAATCTTAAGTTATAGCATGCCTTTCTTTTGCTCAGGACCTTTTAATTAATCTACAATTCAAATAAAAAGCAGTTTTCTTGGAAAGGACCTATTGCAAGGAAATAGATTCATGTGTAGAGCCAAATTCATGTTTAAATGAGAGGACAAAATCGGGAATCATCACGCCATTCAGAATGTTTACCATTCACAGACATATTCTTCAGAATTGTTTGCAAACATACTCTAGTTGTGAGGGGAAAAAAAACACAGAATATCAGCACTGGATATAAGTAAAAGGGCAAAGAAGAAAGTAAACAAATTTATAATCAAGTGTAAATAACTGACCTTCACTGTTAAAAAAAAACTATTGCTTTATAATTGGAAAGAAAATACCTAGACAATTACAAAATTCAGGGTGAGATTTTTGCTCAATTTAAGTAAAAGTACATTAAAATTTTAACAGTCTTCACGAAATGTAAAAAATGATAAATGATATTGGGGCCAACGTGGAGGCTCAAAAGGCTAAGCTTCTACCTCCAAGCATCGGTATTCTATATTGGTGCCAGTTCATGCCCTGGTTGCTCCACTTCCCTTCCACCTCCCTGCTTACGGCATGAGAGAGCATCAAAGGATGGCCAAAAGCCTTGGGACTCTATATCAATGTGGAAGACTTGGAGGAGGTTCCTGGCTCCTGGGCTCAGATTGGCTCAGCTCTGGCTGTTGTTGCCATTTGGGAAATGAATCAGTAGATGGAAGATCTTTTTGTCTCTATTGTCTGGAAATATGCCTTTCCAATAAAAACCTGAAAAATCTTCACATTAAAATCATTAATGGTAAAAAAAATCATTAATGATAACAATTGAAGATGACACCATCCTTATGAACAGGAAAAAATCATATTGTTAATCCACAATACACAAAAATCTATAGATTTAGTGCAATTCCTATCAAAATTCCAATATATTCTTCACAGAAATAGAGAAAAACAGGCCATTAGCAGAAAGCTGGAATGAAAGTGGAGCAACTGGGGTCGGCATGATGGCTCACCTAGCTAATCCTCCATCTCCAAGCAGTAGCATCCCATATGGGTGCTGGTTAGTATTCTTGCTGCTCTACTTCCCATCCAGCTCCCTGCTTGTGGCCCTGGAGGGGAGCAGAGGACGGCTCAAGTTCCTGTGTTCTTGTATCCACATGGGAGACCTGGAAGAAGCTTTTGGCTTCAGATTGGCTCAGTTCTGGACTTTGTGTCCATGTGCAGAGTGAACCAGCTGATGGAAGATCTCTCTCTCTCTGTCTCTCCTTCTCTCTGTAAATCTGCCTCTCTAATAAAAATAATGCTAAATATTAAAAGGAGACAAATGCATTAGTATTTGTTAATTCCAGAGATGATATGAAATGTTTCAATGAGATTAGAATGCCTCTAGAAGAGTATAAGTAGAATCTATACCTCAAAAAATTTGCACACTAAGAATGATTTAAGAAAGGGCAAGCGTTATGGTTTATCTAGGAAAGCTTTTGCCTTAGCAAAAAGTTAGCACCTCTTATCCTCTAGCTGCCCCACTTCTAATCCAGCTCCCTGCGAAAGGTGTGGGAAGATGGCTCAAGGGTTTGGGTCTCTGCTACCCACATGGGAGACAACACACATGGATGGAGCTGCTACACCTGGCCTAGGCCTGGTTCAGCTCTGGCCATTGCATTCATCTGTGTGTAACCCTGTGGATGAAAAATCGTGCACTCTCTCTCTCTCTTTCTGCACCACTGCCTTTCAAACAAGTAATTTTTCTTTGGAAAAAAAGAATGAACCAAAAAAATTCCATCAAATGAAAGAAAAGGAATTAATATTAAAGTAGAAATACAGATATGTATAATACATAATCAAATTGTAGTTATATATGTGAATGAATTAAATGTTCTAACAGTTAAAATCTTTGAAATTATTTTAAGAGTCTTCAAGCTGCTATTTAAGAGATGACCTATAGAACACAGTGACACACAAAAATAAAAATGTGGCTATTGGTTATGAAGCCAGAAGATTGCTCCGTATCCTGTGGGTAAGTGCACTATCTCTTAATCACTGCTTAAGTTCAGATTTCTTTTACAGGTGAAAAATAATCCCTGCATCAACTTAACCACGATAGTCAATGTCCCATTAATACAATGAAATGCAATTCCCAACATGTAAAATGATTAGGAAAGTTATATAAATAAAATTGTCACACACAGATTGCCCAAAAAGATTAATATCAAGCATGGTGAGAAGCAGGCAAGAGAACACAGCAGGACATTCAATTATATTGCTGAAAGTTGTGATTCCTTAAGAAAAATCATTCTGGAAATGAGGAGCTCCTCGAACAGTGTCCCAAAGACTGATGGGACCTCGCCATCTTAGACCAGAAGCCACCTTAAACACCTGCTTTGTCTGCCACAGTAAACCCAGTGGCATCTTAAATGCCTGTTTTTCCTAGGTCTCCACCTTGTTAAGGCCCCACTTTACACAAGCTTCCCGCCCTTTAGGCTTAGGTTGTGTTCTCTGCCAATCTGCTGTACTTCATGACACCGTGCCTGACAGCCCTAACCACCAATCCCTTGTGCCCCGTATCCCTGGTCCCATCTACCGCTGCGTCTACCAATCCCTGCAGTTCTGTGCTCCTAATACACATACCTATGCTCTCTTTCATTTGTTTTGTTTGTTCTCTCCCTCTCTCCTCCGCTGGGCTCCCTTGGAGCACCCTTACTGTCACTCTGGTCAGTGTCCCCTCTCTCTTCCTCTCTGCTCTCTCTGCCTCTGCTCCCTCCCCATGGCCATCTCCCTCTGCCCTTCTCTCCCCCTTCCATGTGCTGTCCCTCTCTGCTCTGAATAGAAACCTCCTGTGTAACTCGCTGCGTCTGGCATTTTGGGTAAATGGTGAAAACTCCTAATGCTAGAAAAACATGTTTACAGGATGCATACATTAGACCATTGATAACTGAAAACTGTATGCTGCAACAATTTATTTTCTTACATGATAGCATCCATATAATATAATCAATATAGTGCTTTATTTAATTTATTGATTCCTTGAAGAATCTAAAATTCTTCTTAATGAAAAGTGAGAAAAGGCATAGTGTTCCTTTGGTAGAAGAGTGTGTATACTTAAATCTAAGGTTTAGCTCTTCCAGCTGCTCTCAGTTTTGTTTCTACTGCCAATTATATCCTTTCCATAAATACTGTTTTGTATATGTTGAACATTGTTGCACTCTCTGGGTAAATTATACTTGATTGTGATATTTATTTATTGAACTTTGAAGATTTCTTTAAAAAGTTGAATTAAAATTTCCATATGATACAGCATTTCACCATTGGGCATATAACCCAAATAAATGAACTTGTTCTATCAAAGAGATACCTGCCCTGCCACAGTCAAACTATGAAAACAAGCCACAGTCAAACTATGAAGCCAAGACGTCCGTCATGAGATGAATGATTAGAGAAAACGTGAGATACATGAGTTGGATTGCCTGGACTTGGTCACAAGCATGCTTTCGTGTTGTATGTATCGTCTGCTCCCTTAGCTTGTCCAGAGAGAAGTGGTTTTTGTCTGTATTGTGGATGGCGGCATCTATGATGCATGCTAAATAGAGAGTATAAAAATTGTACTCTGTTGGATCAATAAATGCAAATTTAAAAAATTCTGTATGAAGGAAATGTGATATATATATGTATATATACAAAATAACACTTAGCTATTAAGAAAATAAGATTACATTATTTGCAGCAAAATTATTGAAACTAGAGAACAGATTAAGTGAAAACATTTAGTCACAGCAAGAGAATCATTTAATCTTTATATAGCATTCATTATATGTATCATTATTTTGTTATATGTGAAAATTAATGTCAAAAAAGAGAGATGCTCAAATGTATGTTTTGTTGTAGATACAGTGTTCTGTCAAACTTTGCTGTATTCAGCCAACAAACTGGTAGGAATTGTGCCCTGCCATGGTTGCAGTAATCCTGTGCTATTTTAAAATGTACTTTCTATGAGTTGAACATGTTTTCATTTGATTGTTGCTTATAGCCCTTGCCTGTTTCCTGATGGCCTTTTTACTTTTTATTTGTTAAAATCTGTATTTCATGCAGCAGCATTCCTTTTACTATAATATAAATTAAAAATATATTATCTCAAAAAAACTAAACAAAACACTCGGTTAAAAAAATAACATATATAAGCAATGCATATCCACCACCAAATAGCAATTAGTTAAATCATTCAAAATGAAAAATAGAAACAAATTTATGTGGAATACTAATTAGATAAGACATATATGATTAAGGGCTTAGGGTAAATTAACAATCATTTTCTAGCATGTATGTGAATTATTTACATAAAGCCTAAGGTAAAAGTAGCAAAATGTTGAATATTAAAGTAATTTCCCTTAATATCTAAAACAAGACAAAGATGCCCTCTAGAAATTATGCTGGAGATTCCAGTCACCAAATAAGACCAGGAAAAAAAAAAAAGAAAAATGTAATTATTGCCAGTTGAAAAAAACCCAGAAAACTATAGAGAAAGACTTTATATATTGGCACACATACTGACTATATACATTAATTGAAAAATACCATTGGCTGATGTTAAAATGTGTGTAGATCTATACAGAACTTGTTCTCCTAATTATTCTGTAAACTCATGGTAGGTTTCTGAATCTCTTAGTACTAAAGAATGCCTATGGATAATAAATGGTGAATGTACACTAATGTATTAACCAGAGTTGAAGTAATAATGAAATACTTGTTGTCTTACAAACCTATGTTGTAAGAGAGCAAAGAAATTACAAAGGCGCTTAAGAGGAAAAAGTTCTGACTCCTAGTGTATTCAGTTTTCTGGAAGCTGAGTGCTGTGTTATGTCAGCCATTAGCATTGTCCCAAACAAGTGAGGACAGTATCATGTTTTATAGTTAGCACTTGAAGTCATTCAGAGGTGTTCTTATTGGCACCTAAATGAATTTAATATAATTAATATAATAGTATCTTTAGTAGATTTTCTGTATTCCAGAATGGCACCTTTTCCTATATTGGTGTAAATTCGACACCTATCATGATGAGCAGTACACAGTAGATACAAATGTTTTCATTGTGGTGGAATGCTTATTTTTAGGCTAAGGAGCTAAAATCCAAGCAACTACACAATTAACAAAGACAGCTATCTGAATAAACTTCATGAATTGATTACCTGAATCCAACATTGGAATGAAGAATAACGTTCCAATATTCATAATGCAGACGTTGTGCATTCATCGGATTGTGAAAGACTAAAAGTAAAGAGTTGTCTTGGGTGTGGTAGTAAGAATCAATGCATCTATAATGCTGATGGGCTTCTTGAAGAACCTGAAATGAACATAACTACACTGTTAGAGCTTGTTCTCCCAACAAAGGATCTCCTGCCATGGCATTTCTCACTTCTCAGCATCCCTCCATCTTCTCACTTCCTCTCTACACTATTACTCAAGTTGGGATCCCTAGAGGGTGCTTTTCTGTCCAGTAGATTGGTGAGAGCATAAATGGTGTATATTTCAGGGGTATTCAGCACGGGGTATTGCTGCAAGTGTTCTTCATTAAGACTGGCAGAAAAATTAAGTCAATTTTTTCTTTGTCCAGCATTTTTCCATGCGTTCAAATGGATCATCTCTTGTCATCGTTTTTAGAAATCTCAGGCAAGTATGTTGTGGACTGAACTGTCTTCTGCTCTTCAAACATACATGTTGGAGCCTTGGCAGTATATTTAGGCAGGATTTTGGGGAGGTGATTAGGTGTAGATGAATTCATAACCGAGGTCTGCATGATGGGCTTGATGTCCCGACAGAGTGGCACCAGAGAGCCGGATCCTCTTCTCCCACCTCCTCTTCCTCTCTGTTCTTTGCTTCCCTATCCAGCTGCCCAAACCCACTAGGATGTAACCATGTTGGCACCCAGATCTCACACTTCGAATTTTCAGTTAGAACACTGTGCTATTTTGTTGGGGCTGCTTGATAAGACAATCAAGATAACTGTAATGATTTTTCCCATTTCAAAATATCCATCTGTATTTTCCAGCACAAATTGGAGCTAAGGGAGAATCAGGACCAATTCTGAGAGCAGGATTTCTTAAGGCTGAGTACTGTCTTGATTATTTCATCGAATACATACTCTCTAATACTAATGACACTTGCAATAGTTTCAAACATACACATGCACTTTTGTATGTGAGTCAGTTAGATGGAAATGGGCAGAGCTGTGTATTCAACATGGAATCAATTGATACTAATGCCCCAAAGTTAAAGCTAAAACTAAACAAAGTGCACTTTTTATGTAGAGAAACCAAAGAAACAGGGTAATATGTTAAAGAATCCCGCCCACAGAAAATGAGGCATTGTGGAATGTAGGACAGGTGGCCACTATTTTTAATTTTGGGGGGGAATATTTCTGGTAGAAGCACACATGGGAGGTCTGAGTTGGGTAAGTTAGCATCGACCATCACCAAATACTACCCATAAGCACACACTAAACTAGGGGCTTACCTGCAAATCTAGATCACGGTACCCACCAGTGAGAGTCAGAACAGAGAATGGGAAATGTGATGCTGGGTCATGACATTAACCAGCATGCGAGTGAATCAGTTCTGGGGGCAGAATCTGTGAGGGAATACGGATGCTCACTCCTGTGAAGCAACAATCTCTATTGGCACACACAAGATCTGTATGGAACAGGTCTGGTTGGGGAGTGAGAGGATGCCCCATCTGGGTTGGGAAACTCAGGAGCTTGGGGAATGCCTCTGTCAGGATGCAGTCCTTGCAGGTGAGTGCAAGAACCGAGGCAAGGACCAGCCCAAACCAGGCTAGGTTATAGTGCCACAGGCACACCTGTGGGTTAGGTCTGAGCACAGGCCAGGCTGGGCCAGTTCATAACATCCACCGGCAGATCTGAGAACCAGAACAGAGTGTAGAAAGGACTGGGTTGGGTCACACACTAGCCAATTTACATTAGGAATGGGATTTGAGACTGGGTGGGCTGGACTAGGCTGCAGCACCCACTGGTGGATGCAGAGATGAAGAGAGCTAAGCCAGTTTGAGGGAGGTGAGTGCAGGGTCTGTGAGTGCTGTGAGATGGGGATCTGGTGGGGCCCAGATTGCCTGGCCCTGGCCCCTGGGCCCACTTGCGATGTGGGTGCAGACACTATGAACCCTGCGGGCAGGGATTCTGGAAGGCCCCGGGATGCCTGGCCCAGGTCCTTGTCCTGCCTGCATGGTGGATGCTGGGTCTGTGAGTCTTGGGTATGGGTTGTCCAGTGGGGCCCAGGTTACCTGGCCCAGGTTCTTGGGCCTTCCTAAGTAGGAGTGCTGGGCCCATGATTCCCAGGGTATGGGGTCCATGGGGCCCAGGTTCACCTGGGCTGGTCCTTGGCCCACCAGCATCGTGAATGCCAGGTCTGTGAGTCCTGGGGGAGCGGGGTCCAGTGGGGCCCGGGTCTTTGGAACCACCTGTAATAACTGGTTCTTCTCAGTGAAGAAAAGAGTAGTGGACAGCTGGCCCAGATCCACACAAAGGATATGGCAGCCCATTGGAGCCTGCAGAAGACATCTCATACCATATCAGAAGAAGTAGGACAGAAAAAACTGGACAACTATCCCAGCCAAATGATAACAGCAAATATCTGGATGAATGGAGAGTCCAAGATCGACTATATCTGCCTATGGACATTGAAAAGGTTCCCTCCCCTCATCCTTGGATTGGCGAGATCAACATTTCAGAACTACTGAAACCACTTGGGCTCCGAGAACTCTCGGAGCATGCATCGCATTGGGACCCTAGGTTGATATTGGGTGGCCATTCCCCAACCCCCTGGGTACTGTGGTGGTTGGAAGGCTGGGTACGGCTTCTCTCCTTACCTTCCTCCCTCCCACCAGAAAGAGGAAGAAAAATAGAAAATCTGGAAACAAAGATCACACCCACCTTTCCCTAACCCTCAGTCCTTCCCAACCTGATCATCTACATAATCATCTAAAATTCAGAAAAAACAAATTGCCAGTAGAAGTCTCTGGCTTTGAACATAAGTGGATGAAAACTAATAAGGGAAGAGCATCGTGATGCAGTGGGTTATGCTTTTGCTTGGGTTGCCATACTCACTGTTGAGTACTGGCTGCTTTGCTCTTGAGTCAGTTGCCTCATAATGTGCCTGAGAAGCAGTGGGCGATACACCAAGCATTTGAGTTCTTCTGCCACCCATGTGGGAGAACAAGATTGGGGTCCTATCTCCTAATTTTGATCTGGCCAGGCACCGGCCTTTATTGTGATTTGCATAATGAACCAGTGGGAGATCTACCTGTCTTTCTACCTATTTTTGTCTCTCGGTCTGTCTTTCAAACAAGCAAATTTTAAGAAAAACTTTTGTAAAAGTCAAATTCAAATTAAAATGTACATAAAAGAAGTAAATGTTTCTAATAAAATCTGAAAATCAGAAGAAGTTCTTGAACTTCTTGAAAACAAGAAGTTAGTTTTAGGATTACTTGTTACTTTGTCTAATAGTTAACAGCATCAATTCTGGGATCCAATTTGCTGAATCTATTGCTTGTTTGTCACTCACAGCTACATGATCTTGAGCAAAAATCACTATTGATCAAGGTGCTTCCACTTCTCACTGTTTAATTAGCTTCTGCTTCATATGGTTATCATGAGGATTAAAGGAGCTAATAAAACATATTAGTCATGTCTAGCACGCATGAAACATTCAAGATATGTTACTGATTCAATTTTTCATTGACTCATTGACTGAAACAGAAAATGCCTGTAAATGCAGTGAACATTGTCCAGAATGGGTGGGCAATGTAGGGAAAAATGAGATTGTTTCCTAATACTTTTCTTCTTTAGAGAAAACATGTGCATCAACTTTGATTGTTCTTTTTTTCTTGAGCATTTTATCAAAGTGTGCTGTTGGGAAGTATATTTTATATTATTTTGGATATTCAATCTAGGAATAAATTTTATTCCGTAAGTCAATGAGACTATTGATTGGAACTAGATGGAAGAGAGTGACCTAGAGGTGAACTGTTCTAAATCACGACATAACTCTGCAGACCTGGATGACCACCTCCTGAAGGCTCCTAGGCCATAAATACCTGGAGCAGTACTTCCGGTTTAAAATGTTCAGTGAAACTCCAGTCCATGAGGCTGCGCTGCTGTGTTTTCCTTATGTCCTCTAAATCTGCTTCCACCATCATCTTCTTGGGTTTCTAAAAAAAAAAAATCATAGAAACACAATTTCAACTTTAATTTCTTTAAGTCCAGCTGGGGCCCTCCTGGACTGCGTCAACTAACCAGCATGCACTCCATCTAATTGGGGAAATCTGCATATGTATAAATCCATATGGCAACATTTTAGAATCACTGCTGCCAGAAAGAGTATGCTTTTGACTTTTTTTTTTATGGGCAACATAATCTAAATATTTTTATTGTTAGGTTATACTCTTCTGAGTCCTGTTAGCAATTATAGGAAGGTTTTCTGAACTCACTTCAAGACGACGTTAGTTCTACATGGCTGTATGGTCAGCAGGTGTTTGTGAGGTTGCCAAGCCACACTGTCTAGAGAGGAACACAGAGGAGGGAGGGTTTGCTTAAACCCGCTAGTCAAATTAACTCCTTTCTTCCCAGTTGGAATCAGTTTGGGTAATGTTTGAATAATCCCTCTCTTCTAACATCAGTATTCTTCTAAGCACTCCCCCACCCCACCCTCTGACATTTTTTTTTTTTTTAATATTTCTCAATCTGGGTCATGGTTTTCTCAGATCATCTTACTTGTCATCTGTGCTTTCAGGAAAATAATTCCTTACCTTTTCAAGAGAATCAGCTGTTGTGACTGGTTCATCTTTGATCTCATTGTTCATGGTCTGCTCTGTAAATCAAAGACACCAACATCCAGTTGTGTTCAGGCTTTGTTCTTGCCTTGGTCAATCCTGCGCCTTTTTTTGTTGCCCATTTGATCTATGTTTCTGTGCTGAAAAGGTAATTCCTGAAAGGCATGTCTAGTGCCTCCAAAAAGGTGTTTGTGTCAATAAGCCTAAATCAGTGCTTAGCTAGAAAATTTATATGAAACTCTTTGAAAATAACCCGGCTTATATGATGCTTCCTAAATCACGTCAGGCATTTTGCATTCAGGCTGCACGCCACTCACTTACATTCACTCCATTTTTACTGTTGCAGACATTTGCTGATTAAAGCGAGTGCATTGCTTACTACGTATCTTCTTGGACTGGTGACCATTGCAAAGGCTTTTCAAATTTCTCTGTGTGTGACTTATCTGGTAGACATGGGAAAGGGCTGAGGAGTATGCAAAAGAGATTACTGCACAAGTGTGTCCTATCAGAAAATGGTGCTATCCCACCATTCTTCTTCCATGTATTAATCATTTGTTAACTTGAGAAGTATTCACTGAACACTTCAGAATTTACAGATGGAGGATAATGATGGTTAAGTGAACAAATGATTGGGTAGCTGGACTGTGTGGTACCATATCATAGATGAATGAGTAATACACATCAGCTTTCCTGATAACCAAAAAATACAAGTCCTGTGTTGAATGAGATTGTGGTGTCTGCCTTGGATAGAAGCAATCAGCTCCATGAATGGACCTGGAGGAACCAATCATGTTGCCAACTTCATACCACCAGAAAAAAAAAAGTTCATTATAAGGTTAACATAGATAAACAGATATTTTACTTTGAATATCTAAAAGTGTAATTTTCTCTCATAATTGTGAATCTCTAATAAAAGATACAAGTATATGATGCAGTTCACACGTGATCAAATAAATTGAGTGTGTATGGGAAGGTAGGTCTTATGGGAACATACTTTCATGCTGTTAACTGTGGCGCCAACCTGACTTCTATCCTTAGAATAACTGCAAATTCTATCCTACAAAGTTGTGCTGTAAAGAGCTCCAGCCACACGTTCTCTTCTGCCCATCTGTGCTTCAGAGGAGGGACTGCTTGCTGTGTCTTGAGGGTTTTGTAATAGTTTTCTACTTATCTGCTTTGCTTCGCTTTTTGATATTCAGCTGTTTTAAACTTTTCTTTCATATTGTTGCTCAAACGTCAATTTTGCGAGAACATTATGGCACTTACTCTATTTTTTAAAGGTTTATGTATTTGAAAGGCAGAATCAGAAAGATAAAAGAAGAGGAAGAGAGAAAGAAAGAGAGAAAAAGAGAGAGACACACAGAGAGAGAGAAGAAAATCATGTGCTGATTTACTCTCCAAATGACCAAGTTGCCAGGGCAGAAGACAGGAACTTCATCTGAGTCTCCCATGTTGGAGGCAGGGGCTTAAGCACTTGGGTCATCTTTTGTTGCTTTCCTAGGTGCATTAGCAGGGAGGTGGATTGGAACTGGAGCAGCTGGGACTCAAACTGTCACCCATACGGGATGCTGGCACTATAGGAGATAGCCTAACCTGCTAAGCTACAGTTCTGTTTCCTTCTTGATTTTTAATCATAGAATTTAACAGAACCAGACACTGTTTATTTGTTTATGTTTATGTACTGGCTCTCCATGTTAAGTATATGTTCCTGGAAAACGGAAATTTACCTTATTTTCTTCATCGTAACCTGGGTGCTGAACACATGGTGGGAATGCACTCAACATATGTGAATAAGAGAAATCTTAATCATATATTGAAACCAAAAATGAATGTGGAACTATAGAGACAGAGATGTGGAAGAAAACCTATACCAAAAACTTATTTTGGGGTCAGCATAAAATTCAACTTTGTTCTATGGCAAAGCATATCTGGACTTCTAGAGTGAGTAGTTAATTATGCCTACTAAAGACAGGCCAATTTTTTTTTTCCAGAAGCTTAGCCACTTACATTTTTGCTACTAGTACATTCTTGCCTTGTGTTTGTGAAGGCGACAGCATGAATATTCCATAGTGATTCAGAGGAAAACTACAAAGTCAAATCAGCCCAGTATTTATATAAATAGATCCACTCAAGAGAAAACTCGGGCCAACTATAACTCTAAATAGACCATGATGTCCCACGTGTCCTTGAAGCAATTGATATGAAATCTGTGGAAATAAAATTATCCTATTCTGTGAGCTGCCAGATTTCCGGGAGATTTGATATTCCCTCCTGAGTCTACGGATCCCGAAGAAAAAGTATCCAGTGTAGAAAATATGTGCTAAAATACTGTGCATCAGTTATTTTGTCAAAGGAAAGAACATCCTAAAACTAATCTGAACTATTTGTTTAATAGTAGAATAAAAATCACTTTTTTCTTCCTTTCTGATTTTGCCTTCAACTGCATAATCCTGTGACAGTGTGATTCAGTAGTTTTTGACACATCTGGAAATGGATGCTTTCTCATCCCTTTGAAAAACAGCTTTCCTAATCTGTTTTACTTTAGAGATAACAAGATCCCTCTGCAAAGCAGTTACTTTATTAAAAAAACACCCAACAAGCATAAAGGGCACATCTAGACCTATAGCCTCATGGTTATCAACTCTCAGGTTTTTCATAAATATCCAATAGGCCCTGTCAAGTTCAAAAAGAGTCTCAGATGGAAATCCAATATTTGGTTTGAAAAAGCACAAATGCTCAACCAACCCTTCATGCCCAGGGAGCCAGGCTTTTATATGCATTTGATGCTAAAATTGCTGTGCAGCTAATACATGAGTGAGTTTTGTTTTGTTTAACGAGAACTGAAGTGGCTCTCTTTAAAGCGAGTCTGATTTAGAGTTAGGAAGACATGTAAAATCAGTAACAACAGAAAATTTGTGTCTGCCTAACAGTCACAATGGGACCCTGAGGCTCAGTGGCGGAGGGTCTGCTGGGTGTTGCTCCCCATACAGCACGTGGAAGCACGGACAGTGCTGGGAGCCACTCTCAAGATGATTGGGTCTCTAGGACGTGCCACAATCTGCATTTCCACCTTTAGGACTTAGGAAGTTACTCCAGTTGTCTACTTTCCACTAGGATCCATAGCATCATTTGATGTGGTTTGGCCACCAGGTGGCAAAAGTTGCCTGAGGAAAATGAAACTAGCCGCCTTAAAAAGCCAAAACAAAACAAAAGGAAAAACCCTCTGGCCCCACATCTCTCCCAGCACACCTGGCTATAGATTACCCTAAAATGACTTCTTTTTCACATATTTATAGGCTACATGAACACCATTAAAACTCAGATAAACTTCTGTCTGTTTGAGCAAGGCTAATGAATAAGAGTATTAAATCAGAGAGTTAGGGAATCTGATTTGTTTGGAAGGAAGAAAGAACCAAATACAACAATGGCAGAGAACAAATCCACTGTGAGGAAAAGACTGAATATAGCTAACCCACTGGATACAGCACGGGAATTTCTGAAGGTGAGCAAGTCCACAGTAAACTTCTATAGCACTTGTGAAGTACTTGTAAAGCTGAACTTTTCTCAGTCTTGGTTCCTTGTCTGTAGAACTGAAATTATTGTGTCTCACTCCTAGACTTGGTGTTTACACGAAATATTAGTGAACGTACATAACACATCCTAGCATGGTACTTATAATATAGCTGGGAAATACTAAATTAACATGATATTTTTCCTCCTCTGCCCTTTTCTCATCTCTCTAATCTACCAAGAGGCAAGCAGATGCTTCCTAACTCCACTGCACTATTTTACTGTTTTTTTTTTTTTGCTCCCATTAAGATAAACCAAAATGGTAAGATGACCCCTGTCAGTAAATACTGTTGTAACATCTATTCCCTTGGGACATTTAGCATCTATTTTATTCAATACTTTTTGAACTTATGAACTATTAGTCATACTAAAAAGGTAACATGTAAATATGCGATGTAATAAATAATTACACAGAAAAGACCAACCATCCCAGGCATCAATATAAACCCTGTAACCATTACAGGGATATGGTGTTTGTCCTCTGCACCTGGCTTATTTTGCTAAACATGATACAACGGCCAAGATATGGAATCAACTTCGATGTCACCAGCACACACACACACACACACACACACACACACACACACACACACACACATACACACACAATATCATTCAACTGTAAAGAACGAAATTCTGTCATTTGCAGCAAAATGAGTAGAAATGGAAGATATTCTACAAGCTTTGATGTTAAGTATTTTTGTCATCTCTCAGTATGCAGGAATTTATAATGTCTATTATGACTTTTTCTTTGATCTAGATGTTACACAGAATTATATGTCTTAGTTTTGAAACATCTGGTGATTTTTCTCTTAATTTTTTTGTAACCGATGTCCACCATACTTTCACTATTATGACAAAGTTTTCTATATAGTATGGCTCCTGTGATAATTTGTTGAGATTTGCCTTAGAGCATAGTATATGATAATAGTTTTTTTTTAAAGGATTCTTATGACTACTATGACTCTATGAATCCCTTTGTGTAGGCATGTGCATAATTAAGTTTTAAGTAACGTCATGTAGCAAAGACATATTATGACCGTAAGCAAGTGAAGCGAGTCATTTCTCTGCAGGCTCTTTCATCAATGCTAAAACATAATCATCATCAAAAGGGAAGTACCAGGTGGAGAATATTGTGGAAGAAAAGCACAGGAATTGGGAAGAGCAGACTGCACAGATGAAAGACAGCACAGGTTGAGGGAATGAAAGGGAAGGTGTAGAACTAACAGAGATGAATGGAAAGCAGGCCAGTTGGTTATTTTACAGGCAGGAGTCACTCAAAGTTATACGCAGTAAATAAAACAAAAATAAAAGGATAATATAGAAGTACATTCATCTGATAGCCACTTAGCTGAAAACAAGTTTAATGTAATATATATATCAGTATTCTATCTGCTCCAATAGCAGACTAACAGGTGCTGAAATGAAGACAATTTACCAATTAACAATGCTCAGTACCAACAATCAATTAACCCGATAACTAACATGTAAAGCAACTTTTTCAATAGACAGGCATATGGCTAATACATTTGATCTCTTTGTTTGCTTGTGTATCTGTTTTGTAACAGTGTATACACACACACACACACTTTTTACTTACCTACAGGTTCAGGTTGAGGTGGAGACTTCAGGCTGGCCTCTTGATCTGATAGCTCTCTATTTTCAGGGTCCAAGGATTTCTTGTTATTGGAGTTATAAAATTTCATACCATCATCATCAGGTTGAGTAAGGTCAGTAGGGTCTCTAGTCTCATCATTTTGCATGTACATCGACAAATTCTGATCCACAAATATGATCCTGTCTTTGGTTTCAATATCTAGACAGTGTAACAAGCATCTATTAGAAGCATCAGTGATCATAATAGATGAGAATGCCTTCTGTTTCCCCTTTGCAGTGTACCTTTTTGTTTTGGGGCCTCTTGAGCGTTCATTCTCATGACGTGCTGCTGCCTTATCTGTTTCGCAAACCTGGCAGGGTTGTCCCATGGGATATTGATCCCAGGCTCTGTCCCACACATCATCCAAGGTTTTAGTTTCCCTGTCTCATCAACCTCAGAGAGCTTCAGGCTCTCGAAAGTGAATACCTTGAAGGCACGTTCGACTTCGGTCCAACTCAAGACTTCTGTAAGAAAGCAAGGCCCCTGCTGGTAGGAATGTTCCTAGGAGTGGTTCTAACAGAGCGACAAACAGAATGACAGAGGAATCAAGCCGTGGTGAGTGCCGACCTGACTTCAAATCTGGGTACCAGAGTATGCAAAGATAAACTGATGACCGCAGCTGCTTTTTAGGAGAAAAGTATACAGTCAAAACAAAAACATGCTCCCACATTTCACAGATTAATCAACACTAGGTGTCTGGAATTATTTGCATGGCATTTTTAGAATATCACATTGGTTAAATACATTTAAAGCTTATCAGTTTGGGCAAAAGCACTCTTTGCTGCTGTTGTAATTTGATCCAGAGAAATGACTAACTTGAGTCTACCATAGGCCATTTTATTCATCAGCAAAGTCTTCCTCCCAGCTACAAGAAAGGACCTTCCTTAACTACATCTCTAAGTTTACTGTCTTTTCATGGGCCCTATTTACAGTGGGTATTTATTTTTGCAGCATGTATTCATTAGTTCTTTCCCTCCTGGTTATTCTGTGAGCACGAGAAAGGCGACTTGGTTCTTAGACTTTAGAAGTATAAGATCTAGGCAGATAAGAAGTAGACTGACAGATGGACCTGAAATTCAATGAGGAAAAAGGAAATGGTGTGGCCAATTAACGATTCAGAAGTCACTTCCATCCAAATTCCTCACACAGATATGAGGAAAAATGGAGGGGTCTTCTTTGAAAAAATAAGAGAGTTCAGAAGTAAAATGGGGAAGCAGCTGATGAATTATAAGCTAAAAGAGACCCTTTTCATTCCTTCATCTAACAAACATTTTTTAAGTAACTATTAGATGTCAGTAACAATAGAAGAGGGCTCAGAACACAATGGTGAGCAAAGGAGTGTTCCTATGGAATGTCCATTACTATGGATGCAAACAGGTTACATGCAAATGGTACCGTATCATGGGAATAATAAAGCAAGTGAGGGAATACAAAGTGATAACTGTTGGGCAGAAGTGTCTATTTTATACAAAGTCAACAGGGAAAAATTCTTTGAACAATAAGCAAACACTGAAGCAAATGGGAAAACAAGGCCTATGGATGTTTGGGAGAATAGTGACTGCACCAGGGCAAGGGGAACAGTAGGCACTGAGGACCTGAGACAAAGGTGTTTTGGCTTGCTTCAGGGGTAACAGTGAAGTCACCACATACGGAGAACAGTGCAACAATGCGAGTTTAGAAGATAATAAGCTCGAAAAGTGAGTGGCAGACAGCTCAAACGTGCTGCAAGTGAAATGGGTGTCCTCTAAAGGGTTTGGAACACCATCAGATCAATATCTGAGAAGAGCCATTCTGATTGTTGTGTAAAGACCATGGGTAAAAAGAGAAGAGCCCGACGGCCACTTGGAAAGCTGCAAGTCCAAGTAGAGAGGTTGTGGGAACTGGGCAGAAAAGGTAGTCAGTGGGCAGAGTGGAACTGGCTATGTGATTTGGTGGAAAATAGTTGTTGTTTGCTGAGAAAAGGGTCTGTGGAAAGACAATCTGGAGACTGAGAATCATGACTTTGTGGATTTGTTAAGCATGAGGTGCTGACAGAGCAAAGACAAAGGCAAGGAGGGGCATGGAGGCTACAGGTGTGGGAAGCTTCAATAGTGACGGCTGAGTTGCAACAGAATTGGCTAGAGAGATAATGGAATCACATGGGGGCAGAAGCACAGGTGGAGAGTGAAGGATTCCACAAAGCAATGGATGTCTTTATGAGCACCACCAATAAGGATAGTTCACTTAAAGACAGACATGGCATCCCATACCTGCTAGGCTATACCCCACATGTGTGGTGACTGCATGGCAGTAATCTTGGCTCTTTCTCATGTGAAGCCTGGCTAATAATGTTTGAAAATTTGACCAGGCTTGGAGAAGAAACAGGAGGGGGCTGTCTGAATGTATTTTTTCCCCAAGTCAAATGATCAGTTGTTGATTGAGGTTGTTTGTGAAACATAATACAACTTCTTTCTAAAGATAGCAATGCATATGCATACTGACTCAAGTAGGAGAAAGAACGAGCATTGGAAAAAATGTTGCCTGTATCACAAAACTCTAATGAGCTCAGAGATGAGAAGTGTTTTCAGAAATATTTTCCTTGTTTTCAAAAAATATAAAATGGCCTTTTCCTATTGGGAGACAAGGTTAACTTGAATCAAGTCACTCTCAAAAGCTCCAGTCCAGGGGGCTCTGCGTTTCTTTCTCCATCCACAGAATTAGGGTTGATAATGTCAAGGAGAAGGAGGTCAAAGCTGCAGACACTGCCATCAGATTTTTACTGCAGTCTTCTTCCTGTCTTCTGCCTAGTAGTGTAGGTGAAGGGTTTGTGGCTAAGAACTCAGAGACCAGAATGTTAGTCTTGGCTTTTGTTGCTAATGCTGCAGTTTGAGAGAAAATAATTTAACCTGCTGAGACCTCATCTTTCTTTTCTGGAAGTCGATTTGGGTTAGGTTAAATCTGAGGGTCCTTTCCGTTAGAAACTTTTATGACTCTATAACTCATTTTTATTCATGAAAGTTAAATTTCTGGCAATGGATATTGTTCTCAGCATTTGATCTCAGGCTGGGCTCAGATGTCAGCTTCTAGTACAGATTACAAGTGATCCACATCTACTTCCTGAGCCACTCTTCCTTGTCTCCTCCAGTCATGTGTGCAGAGGTGGCCCATGAAGTGCTCCCATTAATCTTCACCCAGCGAACGATTCTGCCAAATTCAGATTATATGGACCTTTCTTGCTCTGTTGTCTGATTGAAAAAGAAAAGAATCTGGATATATGGAAAGGGAAGAGATATGAGGAAAAAAAAATCCATAATGCATTTCCTTTACAAAGATTCTTAACCACAGCTTCGGACTGACTGCTCTGAAGAAAGTGCTTTTTTAAGTGGTAGATTGAAGCTTTTTTTTTTTTTTCATGTCCCTGTCACTTATAAAGATTCCAGGACAGGATATGGAAGGCAAAGAAAACACATGAGGAGAATTGACTGGAAATTGGGGAAGATCTATTGATTCAAACAGGACATAAGGCAGGATGCTTAAAGTTCTCTGGAAAGTCTAAAATTCCTATGGAATGTTTTGGAAGGGGTTTTGTTTGTGGATGGCTGCAATCAGGGAACACAGAAAAAGAATTCCAAGATGGCCCTCTCTGAATTAGGACAAGTTGCATGGATAGGCTTACTCTGCCTGCTTTCCAAATAATACCTCTGCAGACTCATGGTTATATTTGTGATTTGCAATGGTGACAAAGGGGAGCAGTGGTGATGTGGTGGCAAAGAGAATGGAATTAGTCTTGGAAAAGAATTATGGTATCTTGGGATGGGAGGCTTTGTTTTTATTTTTTAAATTGGAAAATACATATAAACCTTAATTCTCTTAAGCAAGACAGTGTTACTACATCTTTCCCAATATTGTCAATGAGAGAAAGTGGGACAGAGAAGTGGGAAAGGAAGAAAAGGGCTAATTCTTACAAACAAGCACAGTGGAAAGAACCCCAGTGCATCAAATTGAAGAATTTCATGCTTCGTAGCTTCCATACCACTCTTAATGACATTTTTTAAGGAAAAGAAAGTTGTGGTCAACTAAACTACTTTGCCTTAGCCTCTGAATCTTCTTTCAATAATCAAAAATCTTTTACAACTAGGCAAGGAATTTTAAGAAACAGAAATGACTTAATTTAAAAAAAGAGTTAAAGCTAAGACAAAGCAACACACTCACCATTTGTACAAAAGTGCATAAGCTCATGAATGGTAGCTAGACGTTTTGTGTTGTTCCAGGGTGGGGGCAGAGGGAACTGAAGGAATTCCCACAGTGGTAACTTGGACTGCATCTCCTGCTCAATTTGAACTGGGTCAAAATTCTTTTGGTCCTGATGAAAAAGAGCAACATGACAGAAGACATTAAATTAGGCTGTCAAGTGCCTTATGCATATGGAGAAGGCTAAACATGATACCTTGGCTCTCATTATTTGGGAACAGGGGAAATCAATGATAATTGGGAAAGACAAACTGTTGGTATTTTGTTGAAGGTCATAAAGGCTAGCTCTCAGTTTTCTAGATGTTCTTTATGCCTAAAAATGCCAGATTCCTCACTCACAGTGACAAATTGCCAAGGTCTCACATACATACAGGGATTTGTCTTCTTTTCTGATTCTGCGGTCTACCCAGTTGTTTTTTTCTTCCATAAACACCCCTATACACCCATATACACATACACATCAAAATGTAGTTAAGAGTAGATAACTACGTGGTTTTAGTGTAAAATTCTGGTGATCACAATTGATTCAGTCATTGACTGGACTGTTATAATCGGGTAAGGTCTCATCCAAAATTGTGAAATCTGCCTTATTTGTCCCCAGTCTCTGGGACCCCAAGCAGAAATCAATTTTAAATGCTAACTTTTAATTAAGGTTACCTAACAAAGATTCCCTCAGCTGGGTCATTACGCCTTCTCACATCATTGAACCTTAAGGCTGCAAGCATTACTACCTTCAGTGTGTACTTCCTGTGGGCGTGGACATCATGGTAGTTCAACAGGAGAGGACCCTGGGACACTGCTTTGCTCTCATTCTCCTTTCCAGGTAAAAATATTTCATGGAGATTCTATTCAGATAGAAAGAATGTTAAGTCAGAGAGAAAACACATTTTCAAAGTATGAAAATCCTTTGACTCCCTCCTGCCACCTTACGTTTTTCTCCCTCTCAGAGAGGCACAGAGAGGGCAGGATGGATACAATGTGAGTTGCAATCCTGTGGTCTAATCCGTCTTCTCTGGGGGGTGGCTCCACCAGACTTGGAGGCTTAAGATCTTTTTCAGTTGCCACAACCTATTGAGATAAACAGTTGGCAGGAACTGGTGGTAAAGATCGTCTCTTTGGGGACACTCTTAGGTTTCTACTTGCGCAGAGTAATTTTAGGCAGTTTCTAACAATAAAAGGGCAAAGATTATATAAAATGGCAGGAAAGGATCAATGACTACAAAAATAGAAGGAAGAATTTTGGTAATATAGACATTAAAATAAATAGATTTTTCATATTTGAATTGAAATAAGCAAAACATAATACTGATTGAAAATAATCAGCATTACTATGGTACAAGTTAAAAATTTTTTTCTTAATATTTACTTCCCTCTAAATTACTTAAAGCAGAGTTCCTACCATTTTGGGCTCAATAAATATTGAGTGCTTACCGCGTGTCAGTGCCGTGTGACACATCTTATACATGAACTTATGTAAGCCTCTCAGGAATCCAATGGGGTAGATATTATTTTCCGTCTTACAGAGGGAAAATCTGGAGTGAGTGAAATTAGATGGCCAGCCCAAGCCCCAAATTCCTGAGTAAAGGAATAAGGCTTAAGGCCAAGTTCTCCTTCTAACTTCACCAATCTCTGAGAAGTTATAAGGTAAAGAGATCAATAACAGATAACTACCTGTATAGTGTGGGAAAGTGAAGTCTACAAAGATTAAATGCCATGTTCGATTTTACACCATGAAAAAGTAAAAGAGGTTGAAGTATAATCAAGATAGGCACCTAAATTACAGCTTTTGTATTTGCCCTGAACTTTATAATCATCATGATTTTATGTTGTTCTGCAAAAGTTCTCAACCTTGACATTAATGATATTTTGGATTAGATGTTGTACACTATAGAACATTTTGCAGCATCCTTGGCCTCTGCCCATTTGATGGAGTAGAACTCTTGGAGCTGTGATTACAAAAAGTATCTCCTACATTATCAAATGTCCTCAGGGAGGCAAAATAATCCCCTGTTAAGAATCACCATTCTAGAATACAAACTGGCCTGAAAGAGCCACACCTTTTCTGTTCTCACATACTCTTCCACTGTTAAAGACCATGTAACAAATACTCCCCTCTAACGTCACAGCCTGAGAATTGTCTTACTATTAAGCTTTTACTCATTCTATATAAACCTATCCACTAGAGGCCTTTTATTTCTTAAGTACTGATCTCATATACTACCAAGTTTAATATCTGGGATTTGGTAAATGGTTAATAAATGTCTGTTGCTTTGAGTCAAACTAAATGGGAAAAAAAGAGAGACAAGATAAATCAAATGATGATTTATAAGCTTTTGAGGATTTTGAGCCTCTACCAATTTAGTGATGTAATAAGCTGTTGGTCTTCCAAAAAGCTTATGGGATAATTAAAAGTTAGTATTAGTGTGCTTACCTAATTAATTAGGAACGCAAGGTAGTGTAGCCAGCATTAAAAAAAAAAATGTATGCTGGAGTTTACAGAGGTGATAAGCTTGTAAAAAAGGATTTAAAGTAACATTACATGTATTGAGATATTAATAAAGGTACTGCATCTATGAGGCAGGAAAAAGTATAAGCAACTGTGGAAGAGAATTACAGAATTTACAAACTGGGAATGCTATTTGTAAACCAAAGCTAAAAGAGCATATTGCCCTCCTGTGAAGAAAGAGCTAATAGGAAGTTATGCTGGAATTCCCAAAAACTGCATATATGCAATAATAAAAATAAATTATAAATTTAATTTATATAGGTAAACATGTATATACACATAGTCTCACAGATGAACTAGTATTGCATGTTGCAGTACGCATCTCTACTCTTGGATAAAAGGACTCCCAATCAAACTGTTAAATATACCTTGACAACAGGATACTAGACTACTACCCATTGTTTATACCTACAATGCCATGATATATGAAAGAACATTGTAACTGTTATTGAAGGTCTGTGCTATTGTAATAATATGGGGGAAACGACTTGGGGACTACCATTTTTACTGGAATCAAGAGAAGTATCTATTAGGTTGAAAGATTTCTAGGAAGGGAAGGTAGAGTTAAAAGATAGAGGTGGAATTAGACAATATGTGAGGGGAAAGCCAGAGGGTTTATATAAATGACAAATAGCGTGGTGATGGGGAGAGGGGAGAGATAGTGAGGGTCGGGGACAACAATCCAGTGTCATAGCTTCATGGCCTTTATGGGAGAGAGTAGGCACTTTTAATTTTGCTCTGAAACCAGATTATAACTTTTTATCATAATGATAGTATGATGAAGGGAACAAAATCAATGCTTAGCTATAGTCCTGGCTGTTCATTATATAGAGAAAGTTTTACTACCTACAAAAGAAAAAGTCCAAAATTGGTATTCAAATCTCATCGATAACACTAGAAGGAAGACAACATTGGAACAATGCCTACAAAATACTTATGCAGAGATTGACCAAATTCCAAGGTTATGCCTACCAATTACTATTTAGATAAGCTACTTAAACTTTTTGTGTTCAGTTTCATTATTTTTAAAGTGAAGGGTACAAAATTTGCTGCTTCTCAGGATTGTTTTGAGGATTAAATTAATGAACACATTGAGAGTATGTAGAATGAAGCCTGCTCTCTACCTATATATAAAGCTATATCTATTGATGTATCCATGTTCATATCTAAATCTCTCTCTCACCTACCTATCTACCATGAATAAGAACCATTTAAAATACACACAGAACATTCACAGGAATTGACCGACTATGTCAGGATACAATAGGTCGCAAAGAAAATTATAAGTTTTAACTTGTTAAATGAGATTGACAACCAACAATAAATGGTCAAAATTAAAATAATTCAAAGGTTAAGTAAATAGATCAAAGATTTAGAATCAAATATGCCAAAAGCCTCAGGATAAGGCTGAAGAAATACTCAAGAGCAAGTAAAGCCAAAAAGACTGAAAACAAATAAAGCAAGCTTTTAATTAAAATGAAGTGCAAAGCAGACTGATGCAATTGTAATTCCTTATGAAGAGTTGTGACATTATAGGAAAAAATCAATCAGGGGTGGAAAATGGGGGCAGGGGAATTCCAGACTACACAAAACTGTATGATAAATTTCAAAACTAAAAAAAAATTTAAATGTAAAAAATTGAGGTACAAAGAAAGTAGAAAAGATATAATAAAGATAAATCAATACATTAAAGTAAAAATGATAACATTTTGATGCTTTGAAAAAAATCAATATAACAGATATATACCATTAACAACAATGATGAAAAATGAAACAAAGGGTCCAAATAACACTAGTCACAAGACAGGAATCAAAATCAGTTATAGAAGAATTTTAAATATATATATATTAAATTAATGAACACATTGAGTGTATGTAGAATAATGATGATATATACACATACAGTTAAGCAGGACAGACATGGTAGACAGCAGGCTAATTGATCAGTGTTTTGAGTCTCAGCTGCTTCAGTTCCAATCCATCTTCCTATTTAGGGCCTGGGAAAGCAGGGGAGAATAGCACAAGCCCTTAGGCTCCTGCACTTACATGGGAGACCTGGAAGGATTCTAGCTCTTGGCTTCAGATCAGCTCACTGCGGTAATTTGGGGGAATGTTTCTCCTCTCTGTATATCTGCTTTCCAATAAAATCTTTTAATTTAATTTAATCTTATTTTATTTTATTAGAAAGGCAGATAGTAAGGTCTTCTATCTGCTGGTTTACTTCCCAAGTTGCTGCAACAGCCAGAGCTGAGCTGATACAAACTCAGGAGCCAGGAGCTTCTTCTGGGTCTCCCACATGAGTGCAGAGTCCCAGGGTTTTGGGCCATCCTAGACTTCTTTCCCAGGCCACAGGCAGGAAGGTGGATAGGAAGTGGACCAGCTAGGATATGAACTGGCACCCATATGGGATCCTAGGCTGCTGTTTCGAGCCCTAAAAATAAATTGATCTTTAAAAAAATACATTTAAGCATTAAAGAATCTTGCATTGTATTCAAAAATCCCAACAAAGTAGGCATATGGAAAAGAACTATATGAGGAACTAAAATTGGTCTCAGACGTAGAAAAACCTAACTAAATCTAAAAATGCTAAAGGAAATTTTAAGCTAGTTAAACCCAAAGGAAATGAAATCAGTATATGAGAGATTTATTTGTAATGCCCACTTTTAACCTCAGTTCTCAACATGTAAGATATGGAATCCATCAAGATGTCCATCAGCTGCTGACCAGATAAAGACCTTTTCACAGGTGTTACTGCCAGAGGGAGGACCTTGTGGATCATACTGATTTTGAGTCCTGCCTGGAGTGATAGCAAGGTATGCATCTAATCCTGTGAAAGAAAAGCATATTTTTTTCCTCCCCATTGTCCAACAAGGACACCTGATGATCAGCAGGGAGACAGTGCCCATCTTAATGCCACTAGAGGCTGTGGCACTTCTTGTACATACATGACTAGGGGAAATTATCCGAGGGATATATCACATTCCCAGACTGTGAATCTGGCCTGGAAGGTTGGCAGGGGCTGGCACCCACTTAGGATTATTCTGAGGTTCTTCCAAACTTCACCCTGGCTCAAAACGCCATGAAAGAACACTGCCAGATAGCTGTCTCTGGGCACACCTGAGCTCTCTCTGTGGATGAAGACTCAGAGGGATGTAAGTAGGTCCCCTGCACCCCATGACATGGATATTCTGTGGGAATTCTGTGACAGAGTGGTACCATGTGCTGTGGTGTGTAGCTGGTTCTCTGAGCAATCACTATGATTTGAGAGGCTCAGAGAATGTAATTGTCTTGGGTGGGATATCACTAGCCAAAAAAAAAAAAAAGCCTCAGAGTGCACCCACCTGTTCTAGCATACAGTGCAGTATCAGGGGTACAGAAATGAATTCTTCTGGAATTTGATTCAGCAAATCATTGTAATATCTCATGTCCACTTCCGTCGTGATGACAAGAGGCACTGTGAAATACAGAAAATATAACTGTCTAATTAAAATGTATTACCTTGATTCTTATACCTAAATTCAACACATAAATTCAAAGTTTGACCATGTACTGATAAATGGAGGAATGTATAAGAGCAGTATTAGAGCAGTGCCAGCTCATGGTGCACGCACGGTGTGTACTCCCCCCAGTAACACAGTGCATACATGCCTTGACTTGGTGCTTGAGGTTCTTCAGACTGTGTCTTCTTCTTTCCAGGGGCTGGAGCAACAGATTGTACAGCCTAGAAGAAGAATCACTAAAAATCAACAACTGTGGTATCCAGCCGAGATGCTTTCAGCAAATGCCAGTAGGATTTTGAGATTGTATAATTATGCTCATGCTTTCCAATCATCTGTTAATACTAAGATAAAAGAAAAGGGCTCCTCTCCCCAGGAAGAATAGCAGCTAGTGGGTGTAGGCAACATGTATCTTTTCTTTTTACCTTTGTCAAAAGGTTCCTGGTATTTCTTTATCATGTCTCTTATGAGGGCTTCAAAGAGGCCTCAAGCCAAACTGCACCTGTGGTTTTGACAGAGGAATACTGGGCCAGGAGCAGAAAGAGCTGAACCAGCTCAGTTCTTTTCAGTGACTCCTTGGTTTCCCTCGCTGCAACAATTCTAAGAGCCCACTGAGCAACTGTAGGGAAGGTCACATGGTGGTGGTTAAGTTTGGTGACACCTGAGTTATGCTATTCTTCCCACTAAAAATCCTTTAGTGCCCCTCAGCATAAAACCTGAACACATTAACTCAGCCCCAAAGGATGTTCTTGATGTGGTCCCCACCTCTCCAGCTTTAGGCATTGTGATGGGACTCCACTTTGCATAGGTAACCTGGGAACACCGCACTATTCCCATGTGTCCTGGTTTGTGCCATGCTGCTGTTTTTCTTTGACCTTCCCATACCATTCTGGATCCTTGCCTAGAGAATATCTTTTGATCTCTTTCTCACATCAGGCTTTCTAACAGCCATTTCATTGTCATGAACTCTGATATTACCATGACTCCATTCTCTCCATGCTACTTCACTCCAGATCTGGTGACATTCCATTTTTTAAAATCACATCTAATATATAATCCAAGTGTCTTCAAAGTATTAATTACATTTTTTTGATTAAGCATTCAACCCATTAAAGGTCTTTGACCCAACCTACCTCAGGAATCGGTATGGCCTCTAAGATAGATTTCTCATTAACCACTTGTGGGATGTTAATAAGCTGCATGCTTTCCAGATAGTGCTGGTGTTGCCTTTTCCAATCCAGGGTGTCATACATCAAGCATGCAATGTTTTCAAAAATTTCGGTGCCCAATTCCAGCTACAGATGACAGAATTAATGACAACTGGTTATTAGTTTCATAACTGTTAAAATAGGGCATATTATTTATAGCTCCCATAATAGCAAGTCTATCATCTTTTCTGTCATTTTTTTAAAAAAAATGTATACACTTTAGATGGCGCTGTGATGTCTCTTTTCCCTTTCCCAAGTTTATGATGAGGTAGCCAACTCCTGAATCCCCAACCACTGCACCCAGCCCTGGTGGCCAGATCTTCACTTGCGAATCCTATTTTATTCTTTTTGTTTATCACGATCCAGACTGTCACTAGGTCTAGCAGTGTGGCTTACATTCCTAGTATCGACATTAATAGATGTTAACAACCTCAGTATCCTCACTTGCTCTGTTCCATGCTCCATCTATCCAAGTATGTGACCAAGAATGTGCAGTCACTATTTCTTCCTTTCCTCCTTGCCTCGCTTCTTTCTTTTAATTTATGTTACCTTTAGGGAAAAACACTAAGACATCTTGGTAGACAATTGCTTTTAGAATAATAGTTTTATGAGCAGACAAGCCAGTTATAGATTAGATATATCTACTACTTGCATGTCTAGAAGTAGGCTAGCACTGTAAACTCTGGATCTGCTTGTGCACAAAGAAGGATAAAATTGCCTTATCTAATGTCTGAGATAAAGAAGTGACGTGAGATGAAGTAGCTTGTTGCGGGGCCAGTGGATCACAGTCTGGCAGAAGTCCAGTAAAGGGCTCACCTGTGCCTGTCATTAGAGGACACCTGCTCATCTGGATTTATCTGCCTATGTTAAGACTGAACATTTTTGGTTCTGATTTAACATGGTTTTCCTTTGATTTGCATTTCTAGAAAATATGGTAAGGATTCACTCAAAGACCCCCATCAGTTTACCCTACTTAATTTTAAAAGTCAAACAGCAAATACGATGTGCTAAAGGCCAGCAAATTGATTTAGCAACCTTGGTCTTAATTTGAGATGTTGCAGATGTGTTGCTTGCCCGGTGAGTATATGTCAGTGGGCTTTTGTTTGATGTAAGGCTTTCATTTGGCTTAGCAGAAATATGGCCTGCTTGTTCCCAGATGAAAGCTGTGAATATTTCTCTCCATTCTAAGAGGAAGAATGACTCTTTGGCTGGCTCCTATCTTGGATATGAGGCCATTATCAACTCATAGACATAGCCAAGTGCAATAGCATGTATTTGGCCTGCTTCTGATATAAGTAGATTTATCACTTTTACCTTAAGTGATTCCAACTTTAAAATGAACTTTGTGCCTCCACATTGAACCCTGGGACCTTTCCTTCTAGAATTTGACTTTGTTGCTAACCCTTTTCAAGGCTTTTCTTTCTCCTTGACTTCAATGTTGGGTTCTTCATACACAAATCCTACCTTGTGCAGCATATCTGGGCTCTAAGTTCTGGCATAAGGATGATGTTTAATAACAACTTGCAAGTTGCTTTATAGGATAGCAGTGTGAACAACTGGACAGCACAGTTCCAACTAAATTTCCAAATAACTGAATACTTTGATTGTTGGCAGTTTCCTTCATGGCCAAACTAGATGCTCTGGACAGCTCCAATGTCAGGAATACTGTGTCACAATCCATTGTTTAAACTATGCTGGTAATATCTTTTCAACAAAAATATTTTTCTAAACTTCAAGTGCAATTTAAAAATTTCCTCTATTTTATAAAAAAGTGAAATACAGCCACTATTATTTCCTTTAAAATGGACTCATGAAAGTCTTCTAATAAACAGGGAATTGTGGTCATTAAAGTAAAACGCAGGATGCTAGAAGTGGAGCTGAGGATTTTGAAATTGCAGCTGTGTAGACCATGTTGTCCACACATACACCACAATGATCTAACAGGATGGACTCCATCTGGAATTCAACACATTTCAGCTCTTCTCAGTCTGTGATTGCAGAGGCAACAGACACACGGAGGGAGTTCTGGCTAGTTCAGGAGGAAAAAACATCCTTGAAGGTAGTGCAATGCCACCTTCACCAAACTGAGTTTGGAATTACATGGCTCAAATCTCCCATACCCTGAAAAAACACGCATATTCCTGACAAGGCAAATAGACAGGTCTTGGCCCAAAATGCAGATTTGAGGACGTGGGAGTTTGTCAGCCACAGATTGTATGTGCTTTGGAAAAGAGCTAGCCTTCTAGAGAGAGAGAGAGTAGAAAGCTGGCTTCAAGGTGAGACTCCATGATCCCAGGGAAGGTGCCACTTCCCTAAACATACCTCACATTTGTTGTATATAAGAGAAAATGTCAATACAATAGGATGAACTGCTGAGAGTGCTTTATCACTTGTAATGCCAGTAACTCTGGGACAGAGAAACAGTATTGGCTCAAGATAACATGAAGCACAAAAGGACAGATGAAAATTGGTTCTGCTCTGAGTTCAGGCTTAGGAGACAGGAGCGTGAAAGACAAAGCAGGCCACCTATCTATATCTAGAGGAAGAGGTGGGAAGAGATAAGGTCAAAGGGAGACTGGAAGTTTGCTTAGGAAGAGGCTCTGCCTTAAGCCGCAGGTTTTCTATGTTCAGCTTCACTTTCCATGTATAATGTTTGTTTTTGCTCTTGTCAAGCATTGCCTTAGATGTTATGTTTCTATGTATTGACATCTGATACCTTACGTGCTGGTTGAGTTTTTGGCATTCAAACTGATGCACCTGTTGCCACTCACTTGGCTCCTGTCCACCGTTCAGGGTTCTAACCTGCTTCATGCCTCAATGCTTTCACTTACCTCACTAAGTGAACATCCATCTCAGGGCAACATAAGTAGGGGCTGGCAGGGTCTGAAGCATCATGCCCTAGTCCAGCTCTTAGGTCTGCCATTCACTTCTTTTCCAAGAATCTCTTCCTTTTTTTTTTTCTGATTTAATAGAAAACTTAAGACTGTGTTTCATGCAGCTGAGCACGTGGGTGTATTGGCACTTTGACTACTTCTCTGTTTCATGAGTTTCTGGTCTTGTCTCTCTGAGAGCTTCTCAGCAGCAGAGATGGGAAATGACTGCTCACTGTAGGACCAGGGTCATACTTGGGAAGATTGCCCAAGTTCTTGGGCCCCTGCTACCTTCATTAGAGACCTAGATGTAGCACCTGGTTCCTGGCTTCTGTCTGGCTCAGCCCTGGTCACTGTGGGGATCTGAGAAGTGAACTAGTACTGAAAAATCAATCTCTTTGTTTTCTTCTTTCTTTTTCCCTGTCTCTATCTCTCTTTTGACAACTTTAAAAAGTAAGCAAACAAATCTTAATACGATTTTGGTAAAACTCTTATTACTTCCTACAAGACTGTTGAAGTATGTAAAAAAGCCAAATATCACCACAATGAAAAATCCACAATTATTTATACACATCTTTCACACCCAAGCTTTTGTAATTAATTCATAGGCTAAAAGCTATAAACAGACTATAACCACCGTTGGACATTCAGTATTGTCACTGTCCTGAATGCCAAAGAGTCTAGAGCGAAGTCCTGCAGTTAACGTTCAGTAAATATCTGTGGAAAGGATGACCAGGGTAGACAGAACTACAGTGTCACATGTGAAAACCACGTCTTCTCACCGAAGCAGATACTCACCATCATCTCGTTGTCTGACCAGTCAGAAGGGAAGCTAGCTGCCTTGACCGTGTATTCAAGTCGAGCCACATCAAAGAGATTTGTTTCAGGTTTCTCATTATTCAGGATTGGTTCCAAGTACTTCCAGAAAGTCTCAAGTTCTTTTATGTTATTCTCTTTCTTCAGTATTTCGGCTTCTATGTCTAATAATAGCAACATGGTTATACTATGAAATGAGTGGGTTAAATTTCCAAGTGGATGCGCTGAATCGTAGACATGGCAAAAAATGTTGATACAGTATTAGAAAGTGTAAATAAGTAATTCTGAGAAGTATACAATTTTGGAAAACTGTACAATTATAAAATAAAGAGAGTTTATTTACGAGATGGACCTTATTGGGAGTGCTCGGGATTTGGATTGTAACTCTTAATAGCTGCCTCATAGGCTAAGAGGAATTTCTGGCAAAATGGAAATAACAAAATATACTTTCTGGAGTGGTTGTGAAAACTACATGAATCAATGCATTTAAAAACATTGAGCCTAGCCCTGTGCCCAAGCTGCATATAAGTATGCAATAGCTATCATCATCATCATTGGTAGCTACTTCTAATTTTGATCAATTTAAAAAGTATAGTGTTATAGAATTTGAGGAGTGATTTTATAAATTTTTAAACGCATTGTATAAATGATATTATTAACAGATAGCAATAAGAGCACCAGCATAAATAACATTCACATAACATCATAAACAAAGGCCACAGAAACATTTTGGATAACACATGCTTACACTAAATCCCAGTTTGATCACAGAAAACATACAGTAGCTCCTTGGTTCCTTCACACTTACATATTCTAGCACAGTTTTCTTTGATGAAGATGTCAAGGTTGAGAGACAGCTGAGAGATACTGTGGTTGCTACTATTTATCTCACAACTTCCTATTCTTAGACCAGGAAGAAAAAAGTACCGTTCTGCTTTATCACAAGAAGCCAGTAGCAGAACAGGGCAAAAATCCAAGATGGTGTCCTCCCTTGGACTGCTTGGTGAACGTTTTTTTTGCAAGAACAGATTCTTAACAGAAATACGTCCAGTCCATGCTTTAGTCAGAAGTCACAGATAAATGTTCTTAGATACTTAGGTGGATAACCAAATCTTCTGAGCTGTAGTCCACACCTTCCTTGGCTACACAGGAATAATGCACAGTATGATTCTAATTTGCAACATTTACGACACTTGGCTGGTGCAAATAGAATAAGCAGCAAATCAAAGTCTTCAAAGGATTTAATAATGTATGCATTGCATGATTCTGCTTTGGATAGCAAATCGTGTTTGTACTTTAAGGATAGTGGGTAATGCTGGAGGACTCAGTGAGTTGCGTAGCTCACTGCATACCTTCTGGCTGAAGAAAAACTTCCTGCTGCTGGCTAACTGCTGCCAGGTGCGTCTGCAGAGGTTCATAATTCTCTGAAGATATTTTAATCACGCTGGATATGGGAACGCCGAGCTCAGTCATAATCGCTAATAGCTGAGGATTGTTGAAGCCTGCGACTATAAAGTAATGTTGGGCACCATCATCTGGCTCATCGTCTGCTCAAAATACCAGAGGGAAGAGAAGCCAACATTGTTAAAGAGAGCAGGTTGCACTCGGCCAGTGCAATGAGAAATATATGTTATGCATGCATTTATAATCTCCCCCGGCTTGCTCCAAATGAGCCCACTTGGCTGGAATGCAGTCATGTTGGCTGTTTTTCATTATTGCCCTTCCAGTAAGAAGGCAGTGACTGTTTTACAAAATATTAAATCACTTTTGCAAATGAGACAAGCGGACTAGGAGGACAAACATACATGTGGCCTGTGGTCATACAAAGTGTGAGCTTGGGTTTGTCAGAGTTCAGCTTCTAATTTTTTTTTTTTTTTGGTCCTAATCTCTTTTGAGCAACATCTGGCTTTACTCCTGAATTACAAGTAGCTGCAGCTTTGTGGTATTTTATAAGTAGAGGTGTTTACAGGAGAGGGAAATATTGGATATGGAAGTGCTCACTACCAAGATATCATGCATACTTACGTCATTGAGTGCCAATTCTGAGTACAGGTTATGTAGGAGCTACACATTTATTTCATGAAATTATAAAACATACTGTACATCTTCCTAAAATGTTTCTGTTCTATTGCTCCCTGGTTATACTATTTTATTACTAATGAGATGTAAGTTTATCCTAGGGTGTGGTATTCTGGGGGATGAACATAGATATTTTACTTCAATACTGACAATTTATAGTAAATATCACATTTCACAGTAGCCTGCTGGAAACGTACAAATAGTATAACAAACATAAAACTTTTCATTTTTAAGCAGTGATTTTTCTCTGATAACTAAACAAATCCATGTTACCCATGGGATTCATCATATTACTTCTAACTAGTGGATTTAAAGCAGAGATACAGAGAAGCAGTAAATGGGCAAAGGCCGTGAATGCCCATCATCTCCCTCACATATAATGCAGATCCTAACGGTCTCAGTTGGTTTAAGAAAAGGCAGCAATGAGTTATGCATAGCTACTATGGACAAATAACTTCTACATCAATAATTTAAAATGCAAGAAAATTCTAGGTGCTCTATCTAGGACAATACGGTGGTGGGGAAAGTTGCATTCTAAGATAGTCGGCCTGTGTGCATCCTAAATTAACTGCTCTCATTTTTATTACCACTGTAGTTCGCTCATGACAGTAATAACATTTCACTTTGCCTTAGAATTATGCCTGAGTATCCTTTATGTTTTCAAACAAAACAGTAAGCTAGCTTTGTTGTGGCAGAATTGGCTGCTTAATCAGCTGCTTCATGCTTTATTTGCATTGTATTTAGGTACCTAGAAAGATCCATGGTAAATACATATTTACTACAAACTCAAATGTGTGGCAAAGAAGAAATAATTGCCTATTAGAATGTCATGGGGAGTTAGTGATCTATGCTTTTGTGAAGAGTGAGCAAGCACGAGCATTGGATCAAATTTGTCACGATGTCTTGGGTCATACAGCAAGCACTGAAGTTACCCACAAGAGCTGCCTCACTGACCGATGTAGTTTTTGGTCTCATCTTCTTCTCCTCTCTGCTTCAGCTGGGTGGTCTTTTTCACAACTGTGCTGGCCTCGGGCTGATCCTTGCCCTTCCCCTTAGCAACCTTGGCAGCTGCGTTCTTCTTCTCCTTGGAAGATTTTGCTTTTCCTTTGTCCTTTTCCAGCTTAAGCTTATCTTCTGTTATCTAGAAAGACAAAACACCTTTTCCTTCAAGACACGATAGTTATTAAGGAATGGTTTTTTCTACCATCAAGTGCAGTATTCCTTTGTTTCATTCCATCGCTTATTTACCTATTTATTTTTCAGAGTTAAAAGAAAACCATATATTTTAACTTATTTATATAAAATGAATACGTTGCGCAAATGTCACAATGCAGATTTAGGAGCATAATGATGTTTCACATCTTACCCTCCCTCCTTCCAATCTTCCCCACCCACCCTCTTCCTTCCTTCATTTTTTCTTTCCTTTTTTAAACTTTTTACAATGGCATGCTTCAGTTCACTTCTCAATCACAGGCTTAACACTCCATTAGGCAAAGAAGTCCATGACTAGAAAGCAGAAAAATACCCCTGCTGTTCCACCGGGGTACAGCAGACAAAGGATACTGTAGGCAACAATCAAGTCGGCAAACGTTTCCAGGCTGTAGAGATTCCAGCTTGAGTCTAAATTGTGATAAGGCATATCTGTGTGTAAAGGCTGGAGGGCAGATGTCGTGAAGCTTATACAAAGAATATGTAAAAGAAAAAATTTTCATAGATCAGGGTCAAGCTTGGCCTAAATAAGCCACTCCGTTGTTTGGAGACCTGGTAGAGGGATTACTATGAGTTTACCGTTGTGTAGGAGTTTAGGTTTGTGTTTTAGCTCAATCCTAGCAATACTGCGTCTCTGAGACAGAGTTCATTATCAAAAACAAAAATAAAAACAGAAAAGCAGTTTTCCCCTAAAATCTCCAATAAGAAACTGCTTTTTGGGGGGGGTAATCCTATTTAAAAATGTACAGCTACAAACGAGAACTTTTATTTGATACATTGAAAGATGACCAGCACAAAATATCAAGCAGTGGCACAATTCAGGTTGGAGGCATGCTCAGGTTGTCATGACCCAATATCTCTGCCAACTTTCCAAATCATTGCCAAAGACTGTGCTCTGTTCTGGAATGCAGTTATGCTTTTGATTCATGTATTGATAAATAAGTGGCAGTGCAAAATCATGGTGGCTATACAGACCTAGAAAATGATTAATTTCCTATACTCATCAAAACTGGGAAAAAAAGTGAATTATTGTGACAATATCTTAGACACATATATATATTGCTTTAAAGTCCTGAAATCTAACTTTGAAAAACTAATATATTCAGAGGTTGTTTCTCTGGCATGCAGTTAACAGAATGGAGTATAGAAGGCAAGAGGAGTATTCTCTCACTCTGCCATCTGGCTGTTTTGGGATTCAAAAAACCCAATTTGGCTTTGAAACCCAGAAGTGCTGTCAGTGGTGCCAGTGGATTCTCCATGAGTGTCCAGCACCTGTGGCTCATTGATGGTGCACGCTTGTGCTCTTGGAACCTGCACTCAATAGCACAGGTCAATACCCACAGAAACTGTGGGTGCTGCTGGCAACCTTGTGTGAAGGCAGGGGCAGACTATGAATACTGCTAAAGTCAAACTCTTTCTAGACTTCATACTGCTTTTTAGACTATATTTAATGACACAAATGAAAACTTAAATTTTTTAATTTACTTTTATTGGAAAGTAGGATTAACAGAGGAGAGACAGAAAGATCTTGCATCTGCTGGTTCACTCCCCAAGTGGCTGCAATGACTGGAGCTCAGCCAATCTGAAGCCAGAAGCCAGGAGCCAGGAACCTCCTCCAGGTCTCCCACGTGGGTGCAGGGTCCCAAGGCTTTGGGCTGTCCTCAACTGCTTTCCCAGGCCACAAGCAGGGAGCTGGATGGGAAGTGGAGCAGCCAGGATATGAACCAGCGCTCATATGGGATCCTGGCATATATAATGTGAGGACTTTTGCCACTAATCTACCGTGTTGGGCCCACAAATGAAATCTTAATAATAAAGCAATGGTGAGAACGTAAGTTCTGAGAAGGTGGGGCAAGTATCTGTATTCATTTACTTATTCCCTCATTTACTTAATGTTTTTTAGGAGCTTCAGTTTTGGTTCCAGGTTTCCTCAGCAACAGAGGGAAATCTCAGTGGAGTTTTAGCTGTCACGAGAGCCTTGGTTAGAGGGCGTGAGGCGAATGGAGGGACAGGATGTGTGTTGATAAGCCCAGAATTTCTTTCTGCACCAGATGGAAACTGGTGCCTAGAACAGCACTGCATTCTACTTATTGAGCTCATAGTACTGCAGGGCAGGAAAGATAAAAAATACATAAAATGGCTATTATGAAGGGTAAAACCAAGCATAATAACAGCAACATGGTTGAGAACTCTTTCACAAGATGGTGTTGGAAGGCCTCTTTGAGATGATATTTGAGGGAAAATCTGAAAGATGATTGTCAATTATTTGAGATGCAAGGAAACAGTATAAGGTATACATGAAATCCCTGATGCATGAAGGCATTTTGTATGTCCAAAACAAACAAACAAAAAACCCCTGAAAGGAGACTATTATATCAAGAAAATATTAAGCAAGGGAGAGAGTGGTCCAGAAGGAAGTGTGGGAGGCAGGGCATGGGCCAAGTCATCCAGGGCTTTGGAAGTCAAGGTAGCAAGTTTATGTTTTATTAAAAAATTATGTGAGAAGACTTCAAGATTATGAAGTAAGAGAATAGTATGAGTCTGGAAAGGAGATGCTAGCAATCATTCAGATAAGACCTACCTAACAGTAACTCAAATTACAATCTCAGGTGGTGGAGTGGAGAAAAGTAGATAAATTCGATATTAAATTTGAATGTTAAAACTGCAGGCGTTGAAATGAAGAATTAAAAAGAAGGCACATCAAAAATAATGCCTTGAATTTTAACTTGAGCCACTGGATGGCTAATGGGGTTATCTGCATAAGTAGAGGAGATTTGGTGAGAAATGGATATTAAGGTGATTATGAGTGATCATGTTATATTTCAGATGTCCCCGAGATAAAGAAGAAACAAGTTATCATCTAATAAAAAAATTTGGCTGGAATTGCAAATTCAACCTGGAAAACTGGAGCAACACACCTTTCAAGCTAGTTTCCACTTAACATAGAAAGATTATAATTTTTGTCCTTTACCTTCACAGCTATACATATTTTAATTTTTAAGATTTATTTATTTTTATTGGAAAGTAAAATATACAGAGAGAAGGAAAGACAGAGAGGAAAATCTTCCACCTGCTTGTTCACTCCCCAAGTGGCTGCAATGACTGGAGCTCAGCCAAAATCTGAAGCCAGGAGCCAGGAACAACTTCTGGGTCTCCCATGCAGGTACAGGGTCCCAAGGCTTTGGGTCATCTTCGACTGCTTTCCCAGGCCACAAGCAGGGAGCTGGATGGAAAGCAGGGCTACCAGGACAAATACTGGCACCCATACGGGATCCCAGCATGTGCAAGGCAAGGACTTTAGCCACTAGGCTACCACACAGGCCCTCAACTATATTTTAAAAGAGGATTCTTATAAATTCTGATTCACTTATTTAGTTTAATTTGTTATAAAAACAAATATAATATTAGAAAGACTGGAAAAAATATGAAGAATTTATGAAAGTCACCATAATTCTACCACTCAGAGAAGATGGGTGAGGAAGATACTTAACACATTCTTTTAAATCAATCTTATGCAAAATTTTAACATAATTGTTACTGTTCTCTCTATGCATGTAGTATCCAGCATTTTATGTTTTTATTGCATAGTAAGATACATATAGAGAAGAGGAGACACAAAGAGGAAGATCTTGCTCAGATGATTCACTCCCCAAGTGAGTGCAACAGCTGGAGCAGCACAAATCCGAAGCCAGGAGCCAGGGGTTTTTTTGGGTCTCTCATATGCATGCAGGGTCCCAAGCCTTTGGACTGTCCTCCAATGCTTTCCCAGGCCACAAGCAGGGAGTTGGATGGAAAGCAGGGCTGCTGAGGATAGAACCAGCACCCATATGGGATCCCGGTGTATTCAAGGCGAGGACTTTAGCCACTAGGCCACTGCACCAGGCCCAAGTATCCTGCATTTTCTGTTTGAAAATAAATACATATTCAATTGGCAGACTTTTAAGAAGTATTAGTCTGTGAAAAATGACTGAGGTAGAGAAAGAATTCTCTCAGACAGAGACACTCCACAGTGTAGAAGGTAAACTGATGGATGGATGTCCTCCTGGACCCCAGGCAGATATGTCCTTGGTGGATTTCTCATCGTCTTCATTTCCCACTCGCTCCTTTGACTCTATCATGTCTGACTTCAGTGGTGAGCTCCCCATGGAGTCTTTTCTTACTCCTTGCGACCTCCAGACTTGCACTGAACCAGCACAGTCCCTCTGACCTTGACTGCTTGGCCTCTGGAAAGGTACCTGGGCTCAAAGCTGAAGCATACTTTTATATCCAGTCTCAGTCATAGGAAAACCAGCTCCTGTCTTTTCTTCCTGTTCTTCACAGTCCAAGTAGGCTCCTCTTGTGTACATGTTTATGTCTCCGGACCAGGAGGTGAGCAGGGAGTGATTCAGGTTAACAGAGTATTCAGCAGTGCTGATCTCCCCTAAATCTTGAACTGAACTTGGCTCAGGCCAGCTGTTTCTTCGGCCTTTGCTGCTTCTGGGGAGCACAGCTTGCACCGTCCTGTACTGTGGTCATTTACTTACAACATCACTCAGACGGATCTCTTGCTGACTCAAGGATAAAAGCTGGGAGGGGAGTATCCAAAGAGAACCAGTCTCCACCATGTTTGTGGAACATATGTTCCCCAGCACATGAAGATTGAGTCACGTTTGTTACAGAATACATTTTCTTTAAAATTCAGTAAATACAGAAAGCATGTGGGTGCCACCTACATAGGCTTTGGATAGGCAAAGAGATTTCTCAACAAACTCAGCCACATGGCAGAAATGGGCTTACTGTCTTAGCAACAGCTAAAACAAGTGTTGGCATTTCACATATTCAGTTGAATGTTCAGCAACAGCTACCTAGAAGCCTTAATCTTAAATCATTCTCAGGTTTTTCTTTTTTAAATGAAAGGTTTGTCGTCTTGGAGTGCGGAGTTCTAGTTCAATG